CAAAATTTTCTGGTACAAAATTCACTCATTGTAGAAGCCCTTCCTTGTCTACCCTATCCTCCCTGAGTTTCCTTTCACTTCTTTAGCATTCACTGTCCCTAGTCCTTACCTGGACTTTATTGTGGAAATCCAGGAGCAGAGTTGGGAGTCACACAGGGTGGGCCACTCAGGAAGGGCCCTCAAGGTATTAATCCCTTCAAGGGGTCTGGCCCTCAGCTTTGTGGATCCAGGAACAGAAGTCTTAAAGTGTGCAGCAGTTTATCAGGCTTTCACACCCAGAGACTGATGCTAACCATGATGTATAAACCCAAATGCCCATCTGTGCGTAATTACAGTGAGCAACGGTCCTTCTGACATCCACTGTCAGGAAGTCCTCTTGCTGGTATGAGGGCAGCTGGGAAACTGAGTAAGCAAAAGGCTGTTTGGCAAGCAAGCAATCAGAACCCACCATCCAGGATGTGAATTAATCTGGTGATTCTCTCCACAGTTACACGTTTAATGACCAAAATCCTTTTATGAAATTCAGTCTCTCTGCCATGGAGAGTGTTGCTTTTAAGACTGCCAGATTCTCTTAAAGTTCCTTTTTAGGCTTTCTGCAGCTTTATTCTGATAAGTAAACAATAGTGAGCCCAGTTGGTACTGTTTCTGTCCCACTTATCGAAGCCTACATTCTATATTCCATGATTGGACTTGAGTGTTCCTCAAGTTCTGTCACTTAACCACTAGGCTGATCACTTTAGTTCTCATTATTTCTTATTGGCTATGGGAGGATTAAATAAGTTAGTCTTCAAAAATTAGTATTAGCATTATTTACTTAGATTATAAACCCTTTCTAATTAGACACCTAACATAAAACACCTAGGAAGAGCCTAAATGCTTGATGTGGTTTAAGGAGATGCTGAGATAAACATGGATAGGGAAGTTAAAGGGGCTTCCCAGGTTGTGCCAGTGATAAAGAACCAGCCTGCAAATGCAGGAGACTTAAGAGACATGGGTTCGATCCCTGCGTTGAGAAGATCCCTTGGAGAAGGGCATGGCAACCCACTCCAATATTCTTGCCTGGAGAATTCCATGAACAAAGGAACGTGCCAGACTACAGTCCATAGGGTTGCAAAAAGTCAGATATGACTGAAGTGACTTAGTACTGGAGCACTGGAGAGAAGTTAAAACATCCAAGTATAGGCACTGCCATAGAATCTGTCCAGCACAAGACTGTCTTGCAACAGTGGCAAGACCTAATATTAACTTGAAAGTTAATGCTTCATTTCTCTTAAATCCAAAGTGTCCTTCCATATTTTGAGATTCAGTAAAGTACATAGTGACCTTCAGTTCAGTTCAGGCACTCAGTCATTTCCAACTCTTTGTGACCCCATGGACTGCTGCACGCTACACTTCCCTGTCCATCACCGACTCCCAGAGTTTGCTCAAATTCATGTCCATTGAATCGGTGATGCCATCCAACCATCTCATCCGCTGTTGTCCCAGTCTCCTCCTGCCTTCAGTCTTTCCCTGCATCAAGGTCTTTTCCAGTGAGTCAGTTCTTCACATCAGGTGGCCAAAGTATTACAGCTTCAGGTTCAGCATCAGTCCTTCCAATGAATATTCAGGACTGATTTCCTTTAGGATTGACAGGTTTGATCTCCTTGCAGTTCAAGGGACTCTCAAGAGTCTTCTCCAATACCACAGTTCAAAAGCATCAATTCTTTGGCTCTCAGCTTTCTTTATAGTCCAACTCTCCCATCCATATGTGACTACTAGAAAAACCATAGCCTCGACTACACAGACCTTTGTTGGCAAAGTCATTTCTCTGCTTTTTAATATGCTGTCTAGGTTGGTCATAGTTTTTCTTCCAAGGAGTGTGTCTTTTAATTTCATGGCTGCAGTCAACCATCTGCAGTAATTTTGGAGCCCAAGAAAATAAAGTCTGTCACTGTTTCCATTGTTTCCCCATCTATTTGCCATGAAGTGATGGTACCAGATGCCATGTTCTTTGTTTTTTGAATGTTGAGTTTTAAACCAGCTTTTCACTCTCCTCTTTCACTTTCATCATGAGGCTCTTTAGTTCCTCTTTGCTTTCTGCCATAAGGGTGGTGTCATCTGCGTATCTGGGGTTATTGATATTTCTCCCGGCAATCTTGATTCCAGCTTGTGCTTCATCCAGCCTGGGATTTTGCATGATGTACTCTGCATATAAATTAAATAAGCAGGGTGACAATATACAACCTTGATGTACTCCTTTCCTAATTTGGAACCAGCCCATTGTTCCATATCCGGTTCTAACTGTTGCTTCTTTACCTGCATACAGATTTCTCAGGTGGCAGGTCAAGGTGGTCTGGTGTTCCCATCTCTTGAAGAATTTTCCACAGCTTGTGATCGACACAGTCAAAGACTTTGGCGTAGTCAATAAAGACGTGGATTTTTTTCTGGAATTCTCTTGCTTTTTCGATGATCCAATGGATGTTGGCAATATGATCTCTGGTTCCCCTGCATTTTCTAAATCCAGCTTGAACATCTGGAAGTTCTCAGTTCACGTACTGTTGAAGCCTGGCTTGGAGAATTTTGAGCATTACTTTGCTAGCATATGAGATGAATGCAATTGTGAGGTAGTTTGAACATTCTTTAGCATTGCCTTTCTTTGAGATTGGAATGAAAACTGACCTTTTCCAGTCCTGTGACCACTGATGAGTTTTCCAAATTTGCTGGTATATTGGGTGCAGCACTTTCATAGCATCATCTTTTAGGATTTGAAATAACTCAACTGGAATTCCATTACCTCCACTAGCTTTGTTTGTAGCAATGCTTTCTAAGGCCCACTTGACTTTGCATTCCAGGATGTCTGGCTCTAGGTGAGTGATCACACCATCATGGTTATCTGGGTCATGAAGATCTTTTTTATATAGATCTTCTGTGTATTCTTGCTACCTCTTCTTAATAGTGATCTTATGTCTTTAGGCCGTGGTTCGGAGTCACCCCGCACAGCGGCCAAGCTCCCGCCCCGCCGGGAGAGCCCGCAGCTGCGGATGTGCCTACTTCCTGTCATGACCTCAGGAAATAAATTTCCTTGACTTTATAAAAAAAAAAAAAAAAAAAGACTTTTAAGAAAATTTTTTTATAGTTGTTTTATTTGGTTACTTTTTTTTCTTGGTTCCCAATATCTTTGGTCTGTTTTCATATTCTACCTCCAGAACCTTTCCTTCTTATTTAGTCATTGACATCTTCTCCAGTTTTGGATCTCTCATATGTTATTTTTAAAAAAGCAATGGTATACAAAGAAGATACACACAGAAGTCTACCTGCATATGCATCTTACCTTTAATTGAGAATAGGATAAGACAGTCTGTTTTGCTTCCAGTATCCTTACTAGTGGTGATCCCTTGGTTGGGCTTATGTTCCAGGCCATTGTTGGCCTTCTATTCCAGACTGTGGCTTCTCAAGTTTCTACATTCTTTCAGAAGTTTGGCTTTGGATTGAGTTTGGGTTCAAGAGGTAAAGCTCAAACTGTACAACTTACACTCAAGACTGGTCTGTGCTGGTCTTAATCTAGATCTTTAACACAAATCTCTGCAGACATTAAGATGTCTATCCTGTGACCCACCCTTTGCCCCTCCCCTCATCATACTCGGATCCCAGTTGGAGAAGGAGGCCCTTAAGAATACAATCTGTTCTAACATTCTGTTTACTCAGATCTCCTGATAGTGTTAGATTATTTAGTCCTCACCCTAAATGTAACTGATTTATTGATATAAATGGTTAAGATGGAAAGATTGTTGCTTACACTAAAGATTAACATGTAGTTACTAAAGGTTACTAAAGTGACAAATATAATTTGCTGGAATACTGTGAACCCTGCCTGGGTGGGAAAATATTACAGCTTACTGTCAGAATGTACCAGTAGCTCATTTTGTTTGTTTTAAAGAGAAGTCTGTGCCTTTACTGGCCAAACAGGTACTCAAGGCAGATGAAGCAGGAGGAGTGGGTGGCTCCATGCTTCCTGGGCTTGTAGGTGATGGAGAACTCACCCAGGTAGTGTCCAGTAATCTTGGACTTGGTTTCCACCCAGTGAAGGTCTTGCAGTTGTAGACACCTACCGTCTGAGTGGGATGACTTCAGTACCTATGGCTTCTCTTTGGGCCGAGCCCCAGGACTGGTCCTGCCCGGGAGCTTCTGCCACGGCCATGGGGTGCGTCAGCATGTCCAGCAGCTGGTCTGGGCGCTCATCCGTGTGGGTGAACTTGTGGAAGGTCCACTGCTGCCTGCTCCCCTTCTGCTGTCTTGCTGGCTCCTGGGAGAGGGCTGTTTAGTTCTTAAAGTGTTGGAATCGGAGGGAGTCTTTGAGGTCTCAACTGCATAGTCTAGAATACACACTTCGGGGCAGACGGCCTGAATTGGGATCCTGATTCTGACACCTAGAAACTGTGACCTTGGGGTCTTGCATCAGCTCCCTCACCTATAGAATGGCATACTGCAGCTGCCTAATAGGATTGTGAGTCGGGAATTTCTGTTGAGCAGTTGCAACAGTGTTTGGGATCTTGTAAGTAATTAACTGGAAAAGCCTCCTAAACATAAGCGATATTCCAGGTGCTCAGATTGGCCTTCTATTTTTTAAAAAGTTGGTATTATGAAAATTCCTATATTTGTTTCTTTGTCCTAAATTAATGCTACTTAATTTTCTATAAATCCTTTCAGCTCCTCTTGGTATTTTACTTTCACTCTAACCTGAGGCTATTGGAGCTATAATTGCGACCAGTTTTGTGATTGGTAGGTTAAGTGAGTGAACATTTCTGGGTTTTACTTTCTAAAATTCAGCTTCTTTACCTGTAAAATGATATTCCTAAAAGAATCTACCCCACAGGATTGCTGGGAGGACTGAGAATCCTGCCACTGTCACGTGATGTTTTAGTTACCCTGATATGCACTCTGTTACAACTGTTATTTGTGGCCCTGGGCCAGTAAAAGTGGGAATAACATGATTACTCTTGTCACCCCTCATTCCTTTCTAGGCTGCCACCTTAAAGACTTCGGAGATTTGAATTTTACTCCAGTTCCCAAAGATGACCTCTATAACAACTTGATAGTAAATCCTCGCTCGGTGGGCCTGGCCAACCAGGAGCTGGCGGAGGTGGTGAGCCGAGCTGTGGCGGGTGGCTACAGCTGCGTCACAGTGGGAGGCGACCACAGGTAAGCGGGAGCCAGGGCGGTGGGGGTGCTGGACTGCGCGGTGCTCTGGGTGGATCAGTTAGCTTCTTTGTCTCAGTTTCCTCATTTAGAGTAAAGTACTCTAGTTTCTAGGGCATCATGTACATAGCATTTTCATGTCTAAGATCAGGACCACCTGAGGCATGTAGTTTCCTTCGTAAGACGTGGCACATAGTATGAGTTTCTTTCGTAAGACGTGTCACAAGTTCAGAGTTAGACTAAGCAGTTTTTAGATGGTATGTTTCATGCTTACTTCTTGGAAAACTTTCTTAAAACTTCTAATGACTTTTCATTTTGATTATTTAGGAGAATTGGAGGGATTCATCGACAGGCTGAATTTATTTATTTATTTTTTATTTTTTTTTAATTAATTAATTTATTTATTTTTATCACAACCACAGTGTATCTTTTTTTTTTTTTTTACATGTATTCCCCATCCCGGTCCCCCCTCCTACCTCCCTCTCCACCCAGTCCCTCTGGGTCTTCCCAGTGCACCAGGCCCGAGCACTTGTCTCATGTACCCAACCTGGGCTGGTGAACTGTTTCACCCTAGATAATATACGTGTTTCAATGCTGTTCTCTTGAAACATCCCACCCTCGCCTTCTCCCAGAGTCCACAAGTCTGTTCTATACATAGGAGTCTCTTTTTCTGTTTTGCACATAGGGTTATCGTTACCATCTTTCTAAATTCCATATATATGTGTTAGTATACTGTAATGGTCTTTATCTTTCTGGCTTACTTCGCTCTGTATAATGGGCTCCAGTTTCATCCATCTCATTAGAACTGATTCAAATGAATTCTTTTTAATGGCTGAGTAATATTCCATGGTGTATATGTACCACATCTTCCTCATCCATTCATCTGCTGATGGGCATCTAGGTTGCTTCCATGTCCTGGCTATTATAAACAGTGCTGCGATGAACATTGGGGTACACGTGTCTCTTTCAGATCTGGTTTCCTCGGTGTGTATGCCCAGAAGTGGGATTGCTGGGTCATATGGCAGTTCTATTTCCAGCTTTTTAAGAAATCTCCACACTGTTTTCCATAGTGTGAATTTATTTTTTTAAAGCATTTCTGCTGACAGGTTTGTTAGAAATGCCCCACTTGGCATGTGAATACTTTCTCTACCTCCACAGTATGGACCCTAGGTGGCTTACGCAATCGATCCTTCCTCTCAGTGAATCAGCATGCAGTTTATTGAGCACTGTTCTGATGAGTTGTCCAGCAGTGCCAAGGAGTATTGGAAACCTGTGATCTATTAGAATTAAATGAAATAAATACACACGGGATGAGGAAAAAGTACTGAATTCTACATCTCAGAAGGAAGAGACCAGTCTGGCCTGGACTAGTCACATATCACGGGGGAGTATGATTTGAGCTAAGTAATGAAGATGTTTTTGGTAGAAAGAAAAATGGCATTGAAATACTAGGAATATCAAGCATTTAATACATAGTCTCAGTTAATCCTCAAAACTGTGCCATGAGGCAGATACTATTTTATCTAATTCACTGCTGGGTACAATGAGGGACAGACGCTGAATAACATCTAGAGCCAGGAAGTAGTAGAGCTTGGATTCAAGTCTATTGTGACCACTATGGGCAATTAAATTGTCTTTTGAGATCAAATCTAGCAACTTCCCTGAGTCACTCAGCTTTTCAGATCAACTAACAGAACTGGAAAGACAGGTAGAGTCCTCATTAAGAATAAAATTTTAGGTAGAGTAAGGAAGTCAGTCCCAGATTCTCTACTGAAATTGATTAAATAACTCAAGGGTGGGTCTCTTGCTCAGTACTCTCTGAGCTTTGAGAGCTCATTTATTGTCTCTCTCATTTATTTCTTGCCTCTTTTCTGGTTGGCTTACTATTTAGGGCCCACTTATTACTGCAGTTATAATCTTTGGTTTTTCTTTTGTTTGTATGAAGATTGCAGTCCTCTCACTGCTAAAACCTAGGCTGTCTGGAAGATTCTAGAAAGGAAGGGGTGTGTGTATATAATCTGAACAGCTGTTGAATATTTTAAAGAAAGAGGCACTTTACTCAGCTCCCTTTAACAGAGTAACATACATACACTACTGCTTTGATCATCAAACTGACTAAGATTATTATCCTTACCTTATAAAAAGGGAAACAGCATTCTAGAGAAGTTAGATGAATGTCCTATTTCACACAGTTCTTCCTAGAAAGACCTGCAGTATTCTGAATTGATCCAGTGCTTTTAGCACCATACCATGCTCTCTCTTGAAAAGGTCCTATGTGAGACACGGGGCTTAAAATGCTACCTCAGGGTATACTGACCAAAAGGATGACTGTGGCTTGTTCCTAAAATACTTAAGCTGCATTTCCCATTGCCCTGAGGACAAATTCTTTGGTTCCTGGGAAGCTTGGGCAGCTTTCCAAACACAATTTCATCAGCTGTACTCCTTCAGTTCAGGCAGGACAGTTGGCTAATGTAAGCAGAGACCAAGGACAAGCAAGCAAAAACCAGAAACACCTAACGATACTTGAATGTCATGCTAATGTACAGAACATGCAAATAAACTTGTTTTATTCAGTGATCTAATGAAGTCTTTAATTGGGTTGCATTGCTAATGTCTTTAAAAATGCTGACTTCTTGTTTTAGGAAGTATCACATAACCTTTCTAAAAAGCAGTAATACAAATTTTTATTCTTAAAAAGTTAATATAACTGATTCTTTAAAAGTAATTCATTCTTCTTGGTCTCTCAAGAGATATTAAGTAGTTTCTAGTAAGTTGTTACATACTGATCAACTCTTTAACAGATTTTATTTGTTGAACAAAATTTTGGGTCCTTTTCTGGGCCAAGGCTAATGGATCCAATTAAAGGAATTTAGGGCCAGCAATGACACCTGGCACGCCCCAAGAATAACCGGTTGTCAGCTTTGAATCTTTAGCGCCTCCCATCTCTCCCTTTCATTCAGGATTTGTCTTTGGGAATGACAGTCCCAGGGGCTCTGTTCTTATCCAAATCCAGACTCCATCTAGAGCCCTGATTTCACCCTAAGGACAAAGTGTGAGCTGTGCTGGCTGAGAGTAGTTGTCATTACTGATGTTTGCCAAGCAGGGGGCCTTTAAGATTATTTTATTTGTTCTTTGCAGCCTGGCAATTGGTACCATCAGTGGCCATGCCCGACACTGCCCAGACCTTGGTGTGATCTGGGTTGATGCCCATGCTGACATCAATACACCCCTCACCACTTCATCTGGAAATCTACACGGACAGCCAGTTTCATTTCTCCTCAGAGAACTACAGGACAAGGTCTGTGGGCCGAAATGAACAGAACATCGAGCAGGTTTCTAAGGGTTATCCTGGGGCTCTGAGAATCTAGTTCAGTAAGACTTCTCTGAAGGATAGATTTATGGTGATGGTGGTAATGTTCCCCACTTCTTCATTTGTTCACCAAACTTACTTTGGACCAGATAGTCTAGATGCTGGGGGCATAGCACACAGGCCCTGCTCCTGGAGTGGCTCATAATCTCATCTCATAATAAAGGAATGTGGTAGTGGGCAGTACCCTCCAGTGATATGGATATACCTACAGCCTGAAGAATTATTGGTAAGAAGCTCCTGGGCCTCACTCCTGGACCCACCAGTCTAGAAGACAAATAAAACCATGATTACCTCGGTAATGTTTTCCCACCCAGAAGACGTGAGAGCTCGTGCTAGGCATAGACTAGAATCTGTGTATCCCTCCCCTCAGTAAGGGACCAAGTTAAACCAGGACAGTACAAAGGTTATTCACTAGGCAGAATTCACATTTTGACTCTTGGGGACTTGAAACATAACCTGGTTCCCATCTCGAGAACCAATCTGTAAACAATTCAATAGTGTGCAAAGAGGTGGAAAAGATCTAGTCAGCAGTATTCTTGCTATTTAAGTAAGTTAATGAGAAACCAAGGCCACCTTCAATTCAGGTCATTCACTCAGTTGTGTCCGACTCTGTGACCTCATGGACTGCAGCATGCCAGGGTTCCCTGTCCATCACCATACTCCTGAAGCTTGCTCAAACTCATGTCCATTGAGTCTGTGATGCCATCCAACGATCTCATCCGCTGTTGTCCCCTTCTCCTGCCTTTAATCTTTCCAAGCATCAGGGTCTTTTCCAATGAATCAGCTCTTCACATCAGGTGGCCAAAGTATTAGAGCCTCAGCTTCAGTCTCAGTCCTTCCAATGAACACTCAGGACTGATTTCCTTTGACAGGATTGACAGGTTTGATCTCCTTGCAGTCCAAGGGACTCCCAAGAGGCTTCTCCAACTCCACAGTTCAAAAGCATCAATTCTTCAGCACTCAGCATTCTTTGGCATTCAGCTTTCTTTATAGTCCAACTCTCACATCCATACATGACTAATGCAAGAACCATAGCTTTGACTAGACAGACGTTTGTTGGCAAAGTAATGTCTCTGCTTTATAATATGCTGTCTAGGTTGGTCACAGCTTTTCTTCCAAGAGTAAGCGTCTTTTAATTTCATGGCTGCAATCAACCATCTGCAGTGATTTTGGAGCCCAAGAAAATAAAAGCCTGTCACTGTTTCCATTGTTTCCCCATCTATTTGCCATGAAGTGATGGGACCAGATGCTATGATCTTAATTTTCTGAATGTTGAATTTTAAGCCAACTTTTTCACTCTCCTCTTTCACTTTCGTCAAGAGGATCTTTAGTTCTTCTTTACTTTCTGCCATAAAGGTGGTGTCATCTGCGTATCTGGGGTTATTGCTATTTCTCCCGGCAATCTTGATTCCAGCTTGTGCTTCATCCAGCCCGGCATTTTGCATGATATACTCTGCATGTAAGTTAAATAAGGAGGGGGACAATATAGAACCTTGACATACTCCTTTCCTGATTTGGAACCAGTCTGTTGTTCCATGTCCACTTCTAACTGTTGCTTCTTGACCTGCATACAGATTTCTCAAGAGGCAGGTTAGGTCAAGGTGGTCTGGTATTCCCATCTCTTGAGGAATTGTCCACTGTTTGTTGTGATCCACACAGTCAAAGGCTTTGGCATAGTCAATAAAGCAGATGTTTTTCTGGAACTCTCTTGCTTTTTCAATGATCCAATGGATGTTTGCAATTTGATCTCTGGTTCCTTTGTCTTTTCTAAATCCATCTTCACAGCATCATCTTTTAGGATTTGAAATAACTCAACTGGAATTCCATTACCTCCACTACCTTTGTTCATAGTGATGCTTCCTAAGCCCATTTGACTTCTCTTTCCAGGATGTCTGGCTCTAGGTGAGTGATCACACCATCGTGGTTATCTGGGTCAGGAAGATCTTTTTTTGTATAGTTCTGTGTATTTTTGCCACCTCTTCTTACTATCTTCTGCTTCATCTAGGTCCATACCATTTCTGTCCTTTATTGTGCCCATCTTAGCATGAAATGTTCCCTTGGTATCACTAATTTTCTTGAAGAGATCTCTAGTCTTTCCCATTCTAGTTTTCCTCTGTTTCTTTGCATTGATCACTGAGGAAGGCTTTTTTATCTCTCTGTGCTATTCTTTGGAACTCTGCATTCAAATGGGTATATCTTTCCTTTTCTCTTTTGACTTGAGCTTCTCTTCTTTTCTCAGCTATTTATAAGGCCTCAGACAACCATTTTGCCTTTTTGCATTTTTTTTTTCTTGAGGACTGTCTTGATCACTGCCTCCTGTACAATGTCATGAACCTCTGTCCATAGTTCTTCAGGCACTCTGTCTATCAGATCTAATCCCTTCAATCTATTTGTCACTTCTGTATAATCATAAAAGATTTGACTTAGGTCATACCTGAATGGTCTAGTGATTTTTCCTACTTTCTTCAAGTCTGAATTTGGCAATAAGATTGAGTTCATGATCTGAACCACAGTCAGATCCTGGTCTTGTTTTTTCTGACTATATAGAGCTTTGCCATTAGGCTGCAAAGAATAATTAATCTGGTTTTGGTACTGACCATCTGGTGATGTCCATGTGTAGTCTTCTCTTGTGTTGTTGGAAGAGGGTGTTTGCTATGACAAGTGCATTCTCTTGGCAAAACTTTGTTACCCTTTGCCCTGCTTCATTTTGTACTCCAAGGCCAAATTTGCCTGTTACTCCAGGTATCTCTTGACTTCCTACTTTTGCATTCCAGTCCCTTATAATGAAAAGGACATCTTTTTTTGGGTGCTCGTTCTAGCAGGTCTTCATAGAACTGTTCAACGTCAGCTTCTTCAGCATTAATACAGACTTGGATTACTATGATATTGAATGGTTTGCCTTGGAAATGAACAGAGATCATTCTGTCATTCTAGATTGCACCCAAGTACTGCACTCTGGACTCTTGTTGACTATGATGGCTACTCCATTTCTTCTAAGGGATTTTTGCCCACAGTACTAGAATGGTCATCTAAGTTAAATTTGCCAATTCCAGTCCATTTTATTTCACTGATTACTAAAATGTCGATGTTCACTCTTCCCATCTCCTGTTTGACCACTTCCAATTTACCTTGATTTATGGACCTAACTTTCCAGGTTCCTATGCAATACTGTTCTTTACAGCATGAGACTTTATTTCTATCACCAGTCACAGCCACAACTGGGCGTTGTTTTGCTTTGGCTCCGTCTCTTCACTCTTTCTGGTGTTATTTCTCCACTCTTCTCCAGTAGCATATTGGGCACCTACTGACCTGGGAAGTTCATCTTTCAGTGTCCTGTCTTTTTGCCTTTTCATACTGTTCATGGGGTTCTCAAGGCAAGAATACTTAAGTGGTTTGCCACTGCCTTCTCTAGTGGACCACGTTTTGTCATAACTCTCCACCATGACCTGTCCATCTTGGGTGGCCCTACAGGGCATGGCTCATAGTTTCATTGAGTTAGACAAGGCTGTGGTCCATGTGATCAGTTTGATTAGTTTCCTGTGATTGTGTTAAAAGAAGGTATTTTTGCAATGATGTAAAGTAATTAGCCTCCAACTAATAAAAATAAATGAAAAAATTAAAAATAAATAAATAAATAAATTTACCACTTAAGAAAAAAAAAAAAAAGAAGGTATTTTATTCTTCAGAAGACTATACTGTGTTCTGCAGCTGCCCTTCTGAATCATTTCCACTTCTATCAGTTTTTTCCCAGATCGTGTGTTTGCTGGTTTACACATACACTGAGGGTAAGGAGAGAAAGCATACCGCACACAGGGATTTATCTTGGGGAGACCAAGAATCCCTGATGAGTCCTTCTCTTGACAGGTTCCACAGCTCCCAGGATTTTCCTGGATCAAACCTTGTATCTCTTCCCCAAGTATTGTATATATTGGACTAAGAGACGTGGACCCTCCTGAACAGTAAGTTGATACGTTAGGGTTGAGTTTTGGGCCTGTCCTGGCCACTAATGTTCCATTTGATAGGTTATTTCTGGACTTAACCTGTTGTAGGTAACTATAAAGACAAACCCCACTCCCACATCTGATTGAAAAAACCGCTCTTTAGCTAAGGCTTCTTTCCTTTATATCTCACCAGTTTTATTTTAAAGAATTATGATATCCAGTATTTTTCTATGAGAGACATAGATCGACTTGGTATCCAGAAGGTCATGGAACAGACATTTGATCTGCTGATTGGCAAGTAAGTAACATCAAGTAAGTAACTACAATGGATGTCTACTTCTAGGTGCCAAAGGGAACAGGGCAGACTGTCAGTGGGCAGTAAACTTTGGCCTGTCTCTTGAGGATAATGACCTTATAAAAACAAAACATACATATAAAGAAATTCAGATAATTCAGAAAGAGACTGAAACTTCAGTCATGTTCTTCTGGGGCTGGGAGTGAAAACAGCTCCGGTGAATTTCTCTTTAGCTCCATTTTTAGTGCTTATCTTTCGAGAGGAGAAGCATTCATTGTTCCAACTTTTCTCTTCCCAGCCTCAACTATTGCATCATCTGAAAGTTTTATATGAAGCAAATCTTGGTAGTATAGAAAGATGACAGATGAATGCTAATAAAATGCTAGTTAACATTTTACCAGTGCTGAGTCTTCATTTCTGGGTGATTAATTGCCACCTTGGTAGTATACCATTTCTTCAAGTGTTAAGAAGTATAAATAATTTACTATATAGGTGTTTACTGTATGTTACCTTCAACCATTGGATGCCTGGGCTAAACTGAAGTTGCAATTGGGAGATGGTAAGATCGCAGTCATAAGTTCAGAGCTGCTGTTCTACTCTGAGAGGATAATTAACTGTAACCTAGATCAATCCAACTTCAGCTAGAATTTGCCAGAACCTTTGTCCTATGGAAGTGAGGAATTCCCTCTGTTGATAGTTCTTACTATAAGAGGCTCTAAAGCCCAGGGTAAATCAGAAATACAAACTGGAGTTAGTCTGAGGCGCACAGAACCAAGGGCAAGACTATGAAGTGGTGTGTAAGCACCTAACATAGTAACTTTCAGAACAGGAAATCTGGAAATCTGCTGTATTAATAAAGTACTAGCATTAACACAACAAAACCAAGGAGTTGTAGCTGTAGGAAGGATGAATATCCAAGTACAGCCCAAATGACTTTCTCTTATTTTCCTCCTTTCAAGAAGACAAAGGCCAATCCATCTGAGTTTCGATATTGATGCATTTGACCCTACACTGGCTCCAGCCACAGGAACCCCTGTTGTAGGGGGACTGACCTATCGAGAAGGCATGTATATTACTGAGGAAATACACAGTACAGGTAAGCAGTGATCAACCTGTTAATTACCTAAGTAGATCTGCTGAAGCCCCTTGCCTGCCAGGGGATCTTTTCTATTACATGTCACTGGAGACACTGTTTCTCTTTAAACTTCTATAGCTAAAAGCCATGTGGTCAGGGTAATAAGGAGTCATTTAGAGGCATGTTGACCTGGCTGATAACAAAATACGTTAAGGTAACACTGAGTAAAAAAAAAAATATTGTCCACTTAAACACTTAATAAATACAAAAATAAACTCCCAAACTGATGTAGTTCTTTGCATCTGAGTTGTATAAAGGCAGATGAAGACTAAAAGGCAAGGCCAAATAGCTCTAATTTTAACCCTGACACTATAAGATTGGTTCACTGGGAGTTAAGAACGTCAAGCTGAAGCTTCCCTTGAAGATATTTCAAAGTTGGACAATACTTTGTGCCCTTTCATAGAAATCTTATACTAGAGCTTGTTTGCTAGGACCTGTAATATGGGGATACTGGAAGATGAATGGCTGAAAGGAAGATCAGTAAACTGAAAGCTAGGGGATCAAGAGTAGCTACAAGAGGGGAATTCCCTGGTGGTCCAATGGTTAAGACTTAGTTGGTGCTTTCACTGCAGTGGCTGGGTTTGATCCCTGGTTGGGGAACTAAGATCCCACAAGCTTTGTGGCGCAAAAAATTAATAAAAATTTTTAGAAAAGAGTAGCTATAAGAGGTTACTATCCCCAAACTCATACTCATTTGCAAACACTTTCCATTTCTGTCAGAAAGCTCTTGGTTTTAAAGCTACTTTAAATGACCTCTCATTGCAAAATTTAAACAATTACTGCATGGTACTTCAGTACCACCTCATGAAATTGGGGTTGAAATAGCATAGAGACCCCAGACTGAAAAGTCGAGGACTATAGGAAACCCTTGACTAGCTGGGATGGGATACAGAAGTTGAGAAGTGGTCTCCCTGGCTCTGGAGCCTACCAGAACCTTAGGCACTACAGAAAGAAGAATGCTTGTCAATCAGATTTGATGGGACCAGAAAATCTTCTCAGACCTAGAACTGTAGACAGTTAGTTGTCCTTAGCCAGTGAACCTGGCAATTCAATTCTCCATTCAGTTTCCCACTGACACCACTTAGAGCAGAGATTAGTAACCTTTAGCACTTAGATGGGGGCAGTGGTCATATCCTGTCCCTCCCTCGCTTGCTGCAGTGTTATTCTATTCAAAAAGGCTGTCTGTCCTGAGACTATCAACTAGATAAAGCAGTTTGCTTAAATTAATCTACAAGGTGGCAGTAGTTTAGAAACATGGGTAGCATATGTTTTTAACAGCTTGTACCCTCTTGATTTACTTCTGGGCTATGTAAAAGGTCCATATTTAGTAGGTGGAAATTGGATACAGATGCGTGTGCAGGAACTGGTGGACACATCTGCTCGTTGTAGTTCTGCATGGTGCACTGAACCCCAATTGCTCCTAAGGGATGGCACACTGCGTGGATGTACTAGCATTTAATGTACATGTGCTAAAACGTAATATCCATAAGTCATTAGGTATATTCATCCATGTATCGAGGCTTTATGACCACCCTAAATATCCAGATACTTGTATTCTCCAATCTAGTTTCTTCTAGTGACTCTTAAAAGGAGGTAGATTAACTTCATCCAGAATAACCAACTAAAAATAACCACCCCAGAAGTAGGGCATATATATGTTGATGGGGAGGGGCAGAGGGCAGGTCTAGATAGGTTCTTTTTCTAGTTTAATCTTTCCAACTCAAACCCTTTGGCACAAGTACCCAGACCTCACAGAAGGTGACTGGAGTTCAAACTAAATATGACCAAATGCAAGATACTGCATCAGTCTGAAGGGAAGCCTAAGAACTGTGTCATACATGGAGCCTGTCCTCAGAGTTCAAACTTGCAGGGTTGAGAGTGAGATAAGGAATAACAGCTATACTTTAGGACACACGGTGCCTTAAAAGCCACACAGCGCCAGAGTTCAGAAGTGGGAATAGTGCTGGCTAGTGAGCCCTGAGATCTCATCACACAACTACAGGCAGGCATCTGGGAGGTCCCTAGAAATACTGGAAATGATACATTTTCCCAACTAGATTGGAAACTCCTACTGCCACCCCTGCTTATCCTTCACCCCGACCTAACTCATCCTAACCAGAAAGCCTGTCCAGCCATGCCCGTTATGTTCATTAAACAGGGATAATTGACTTAATTACTTTAAAGGTTTCTTTCGATCCTACTCCGGCATTACCAGTGTTTCTAACTTAAATTCATGCCCAAGAGGATGAGGTGTAAGGGCCTTCCTGACAGTGGGTAATTTTCTAGTAGAAAATGACCTTTCACCTTGGTCTGTTCTCCCCGGGTGGGACGACCCCACTGAAAGGAGCAGCTAGCAAGTTTCCTTTTGTCCTGCTTTGTGTTCTCAGGGTTGCTCTCGGCCCTGGACCTCGTTGAAGTCAATCCTAGGTTGGCCGTGTCAGAGGAGGAGGCCAAGGCTACAGCCAGCCTGGCAGTGGACGTCATTGCTTCGAGTTTCGGGCAGACGAGGGAGGGAGGGCATGTTGTCTACGACCAACTTCCTACTCCCAGCTCACCAGATGAATCAGAGAGTGAAGAACGTGTAAGAATTTAGGGAATACTGTTTGCTGACACGTGTGTCACAGTGGGCATTCCAGAGCCGTGAGGCGTTTGTGGTGACAGATATGAATGATCATCTGGGTCAATACTGCCTTAATGAGAACATCTGTGCACTCTCACAATTGTCAAGTTGCCTTCCCTTTCATTTTGGTGACCGATAATAGTACTATATATGTACTTGGTTTTTTGAAGCTCACAGGGTATTAATATGTCGGAGCACTATGTAAACTTAAAGAAGTCATAAACGACATTTATTACCTTGGTATATCATACAGGTCTTATTGCTGTTCCTTCACATATCAGTGGTTTTCCGTCTTCCTCCCTCCACCCACAGTCTGGCTACACAGTGCCTTCTTGAACTGCTAGTTCACAGCAGCAATAAGATTTTTTCCACACCTCTAAGCCATTCATTCACAAAGTCACAGTTCTGGTCCACAAACCCTTCCCTGTAGGAGGTTCAATGCCTGCGAAAGAATTTGTAATAAACCAGGCCTCCCAGAATGGCTAGCTCCAGTAAGATGACAATGGAAAGCAGCAGCTTGTTGGTTGTCACTCTACAAAGAGAAGCAAAGTGGGATGTAGTCAGAAGTCTGGGTAACCTTATTTCTTTCCATTCTTAATACTGAGGAGTTTGACCTGGGGCCAAGGCAGGATACTGTGAGGTAGACTGAATTTTTGTTTGATCATGTAGCCACAAAATAACCTTGTAAATAATTACTACTATCTACCTCACAGAAATATTGAAAACTGAGGCAGTAAGATACCAAAACATACAAATGATTTTTTCTAAAGTGTCTTCAAATAGTAATTAATACTTCACTTTAAAAGTAGTTTTTCTATGATGGGCAAGTTAGAAAAATATTAAATGTACACAGGAAAAATTATACCATTTTTTAAATCAGTTGAATCAGATTTCAAAGTAGAAGCTCACTATCTAACCATCTACAGCTGCCCTGACCACATATTACAGATGTGAGGCCACATTAGGAGAAGGGTTGGCGGGAGACTCCAGTGTCCAACTCCAGCTCGGTACAAAGAGGTGGTCCTGCTTTAGGATAAGTAACTAGAAGCTGGGAGTGCCTTTCAATGTCTTCTCAACTTCTTGCCTTTCTTTCTCTATAAAGGCAGAAATTTTTCTGAAGCTCCTAGACTCTTTAACACAAAGAATCGAAATCAGACATTTCCTCCTGCTCCACAAGGAACTTACCACTGTTTTGGAAAATCTCACTCTCTTGCTAGTTCCATGACTTGGTTATAGTTTTACTCATACTACCTACACTGACTTACCCCCCAAATTCAGCCTCAGTGCCCATACTTCCCTTCTGTCCATGGTTCTGCTGCTGTTAGCACTTACCTAAAGGGTTTTTTCTCAAGTCAAACTCCTTGCTAACAAGACAGAACTCCCAAATAAGGGCTGACTCCCATAAAGGGCAAGCAGAGCCAAAATCAAGTACGAAGCCATAGCAGTGAAAAGTTTTCTAATTAAGTTTTTACAAATGTATTTCCAGGAATTTGCAGCTCTGTTCCCATGTGCTGTCTTCTCTAAAGAATGTAAACTGGGATGAAAAGTCTTTCCAATGGACCAGTTTTCCACTGCTCCAAATCATAGCAGTATATATACTTCCAACAATGGATTTTTTTCCTGGGATACTTAACTATGTGATATTCTTTATTTCTTCTGTTTTATCAGTACCTTTGCAAGTCATGGTTTAAAGCTTTGATATTCTCAGCTGAAAGATTAGAATTAAGAGAAATTAATCCTGTGACTAATTGTTAAAACTTACTTTCTGGACATTGAGCGGAGAATCTTCCGACTTTTGCTCAAGTTTTCACTTGTATTTACCAGCTGAGAAGAGAAAATAGCAATTATTTCCCTCTTCTTACAGAAGTACACACTGTAGAACTGAACCTTAGTAAACTGACGGGTGTTAAAGGGTTTATGTTGAAAAACTCCCAGAAATCACATCAATTTAAATGATGGTTTATGTTGAAAAACTCCCAGAAATCACATCAATTTAAATGATGGCCTCTGTAAGTAGAAGAAACTGGAAAGGACAAGATAACTTTTAATACTTGTCAACAGGCCTAGGAATGACTGTATCCCAAGGCTGCTGTGAGGAGACCTCTGGGACCGAGCTAATCCTTCACTGTGGCTACACAAAACAAAGTCTTCAAGTGTACCCTGCCAGTAACTAAAGTAACTCTGAGCAACTTAAGATGTTAATTTCATCAGCCAAACTCCAGGAGAGCCTCCTGAGCTGATGTTTGTTTTGGTAGCCTGGTGGATTACCACTTTTGAGATCTGGTTCTTTTTCCTTTTTTATTTACCCTTTTAAGAGATACTTACATTGACTTATGAAAGGAATTAATCTTTTTTTTAAAGTCTTTTTTATCCCCTTTTGGTTGCCTGTTACTGACCTATATAGCTGGAGGACATTTCAACAGATACCACCTACCATCTGTTCCTGTTCACCAGTGGCCTTGGTAAGCTGATCTCTCAGCTCATTCCTCAGCTTTTAAATTCAGCTAATCCATCTAGTAAGTTCAAAAGTAAAAACAAATAAACCATGCAATCTGCAAACAAGCTGCTTTCTCTGCAGCTTACCTTGAATTCAGTACTTTACTGTGAATTTTCACTGAGGAGGGTGATACCTGGCTTGATTTTTAAGTTGTCAAAATCATTCTGACTTGATTTTAAGAGTGGAGAATTACAGCTATTAAGGTGGGAAAATAATAGCTCAGTGTGGGGATTTGAGATGACTTTCTCATATCTAAGTCTTGCCCACAGTATCTGTGTTTCATTTATCTGCCTCATGCTCTTAATACAGCATTCCATTGGCAATTTTTAAAATTCCTTTGCAGATGGTACAGAAAGGAAGAAATAAGTTGTTTTTCAGAGCCTCTTAGAGTGATAGTAGATTAGAGGCCACAGTGTAGTCATCATTTGGCCTAAGTATTTTGTCTTATCACAGTGATCTCCCTTAGTGTAGTAGCAGTAGTGTTAGGTGCTCAGTCATATCTGACTCTGTGATCCCATGGACTGTAGCCCGCCACATCCTCTGTCCATGGGACTTTCTAGGCAAGAATACCGGAGTAGGCTGCCATTTCCTACTCCAGGGGATCTTCTCGTCCCAGGGATCGAACCCGTCTCCTGTGTCTCCTACACTGCAGGCGGATTCTTCACCACTGAGCCATCGGGGAAGCCCATGATCTCCCTTACCTTAGGTTAAAGAGTCCAGGATTAAACCTCTATAAATTGTCAGCAGTACTAGTTTATGACATGTGGAAAATAGCCTTGGCTCTAAACGACAGGAAAGCTAGAATCTTTTAAAGCAAATGATGCTTTCATAAGAATAGCAGGTGTTCTACTAGACGTGTGAGAAACAGAAATTTAGTTCATAATACAGGACCTAATAAAAGGATGGTATGGCTATAATCCTATTTGACAATCTTCAATAAATGTAAAAACTGGGTTTCTGCAATCTCAGTCCCCCTGCCCAATAACCTCTAAATCTTACAAGTAAAATTTCTTCCAAGGGATATGTTTTAGTCAAGCAAAGCGAACAGAGAAAAGCATGAGAACCTAAAACATCATACCCTGAATTTGGAACTGTGGTAGCTTCTGGCTGCAGCAAAGCATCAGGGTGTAACGGGCCCAACTTTCCCCATTCTTGCCCCTCTCCCTATCCACCCAGACTTACTCTACTCTTGGTGCGTTCCAACTGGTCACGTTGCTCCCCCAGCTCTTCTATGATTTCTGAGCCAATCTGGTCAGTCTCTGCAGCAATACGATGAGAACGCTCAATACTCTGGGTGGCCCGGTTCAGGCTGTCAGTGCCTTGCAGAAGCAATGTCCTTTGAGACTGTAGCCGATTCTGACAGGAGTATGGAAGGGAATTGTTAGACTTCTTCCATTATAAATGAATTTATAAGAAGGGATTCATTACTTGTAAGACAATCAAAGATGCTAATGAATCAGACTACAAGAGAACCTGGGATTCAATCTAGGATCACAATACCTCCCAGTCCACTGCTTGTTACACTTAAGTGAGGCAAGGAAAGGATTCAATACACCAGAGCATCTTCCTTGTGCTCCTGATGAATCTGAACTGACTCATGTGCTTCCTGGACTAACAACTTCTGAGAGGCAATGGCCCAGATCTAGGATGCAGGAGCTACCTGAAAATGCATACATCCTATCATTCTGATAGGGCAAATCAACTAAACTCTACCGCCTTAGAAACAGTGTAATTCACTGAAAGTTCCCACTGATTGGTACTAAGTGACCATGAATAAGCTATTCGTTTTCAGCACACATAGAAATCACTTAAAAGTGTGAGAGACTACTACTCTCTGGAAAAAAGCATCCAAAGAATTTAACCTCAGGCCAAACACAGAAAACAAATACTAAAGTTGTTACACTGGTGATTTGCTCTCAGGGGAGGTAGTATCTGGGGCCAAGTAAGGGCCCTATTTCTGAAACTCCACCAAAGCATTATTCCATCTATAGTCCTAAGCACAGAAGGCATGAGGACAGAATTAGCCTTTGTCAGGCCAGAGATAACTACTGGCAGAAATGGAGGCAGCTCTAAGTTCTCAGCTATTCAGAGCATACATGCGCACAAACTCTAGAAAAGGGGTCGGCTCACAAGGCCTATTACTGAGCAGGTGACCATTAGCACTTGATACCAACATTAAGAAGCCGAAAGATGTGTTTCCAGATCAGAAACAACAAGAAGGCTTTTTCACTTCATATATAGCTACGGACAAGTGAGTGAGGAAACCACTGAATGAGGCTGAAATGAACCCGTTTACACTGGCTTAAAAGCAGCAGGAAAACATTTTTAAACATAAAAGATGAGGATTTTCAACTGACTAGGCTTAAGAAAGAGTAGGGAGAGACAGTAAGGTCACATGAATCAGCCCCAGATTTGAAACAATAATTCTACTGCAAGTAGTTTATATACCTATATTGTTTTTATAATTTCTGAAACTAATAATTTTAAAGCAAAATTATTGCTTGGAATTACCTTCCTCCCTTTTGTTTTTGGGGCTTTTGGGTCACAGATGACCAAAGTCACTGTATACCTTTCATCTCACTTTTAACAAGTGCTACTTGCCTGCGTTTTCCCACTCTGCTTTGAAAATTTTACATTATTCTCAAATACTCTAGTTTTTACATCAGGAATGTCAGGCCACTATCATTTGAGTATTTCTTAAACTTTATTTAGGATGCATCATGAAATAGGATTTGTTTAAAACTGTCATCAGCCTTTCTACATCCATACAGTCTGCACTAGTGGGCCCCCTTCCACTTCTCTCCCACATTACCAGCCAGGCCATTTCTACTTTGTGCTGTGGAATATAGTCCCAAATGTAACACATGAAATTTAACCTTTGTGAAGCTTTTCTCCTTTACCTATCTAGCTTCTTTAGACAGTTTGAGAATATAGATTTTCAATTTAGAAGTCTAATTTTATAAATGAGAACACTGCAGGCTAGAGAGGCAGCCTGTCTCACTTTCTATTATGATGAAGTAAGGCGTCAGCCCCATTTTTGAGAAGCATCCTGCTTTCTCTACTGTATCTGGGCTATTGGGCCATTTTGATACAAATATAAGGGAAAGTGTGGGTTACTTTTGTAACAATGCTCTGATAAGTTAAAATCCTAACTGAACTCTGGGGGGATATGTGACAAAGAAACTGGATTGGTGAGTCAGACTAGAGTCCAGGTGTAACACTTGTATATCACCACTACCCATCAAGCACTGTTTTATACATAAAGGATACAAAAAAATCTAAACAAGTAAATTGTTTGGAATGGTCTGCATTAAATTCAGTAGAGGTAGGCACCCAAGAGAAGGGGAATTGGATGCAAGAGAGAAGATAAGATGGAAAAAAAAGTCAAGTATGCACTGATAACATGAATTGTACTCCACAATTCGGTTAATCATTGTACCACAGACCCACAGGGAAAAGACAGCTGAAGCTTACCATATGCTCATTCTCCACAGCGTATGTACCGTATTTCATGTCTCCTCGGGCCCCAGGAGTGGCTGTCAAAGGCGTACTTCTCACTTCCCGATGGAGTTTAGCAAGGTCCTTCCGGTAGGTTCGAAGCTTAGACATCATAGGGTTACGGAAAGATAGGGGTGCGTAACGTAGTTCCTCTTCCATTTCTGCCAGCTAGGAAGGCAGAGATGGTGAGTAGATGGCCTGCTTCTATTCTCTTATGGGTAGTATGTCTAGTCTGGACCAATCAAACCACAGGCAATCCTAAATAAATACTCAACATGTGGCCCAGGAGGGCAGGGACCACATGTGACACCTTCACTTCATTACTGAGTGCTTGGCACAGTGCCCAGCAGGCACAGAACAGGCCTTCAAAAAGTATGTGATGAATGAGTGAGAAAACTAACAAGTAGCTTATAGCTTATTAAACATTTTGACATATATTCTCATTTAATCCTCACAACAGATCAAAAAGGTAGGAAATACTTTTACTCCATATATGAGACTTGAAGAAACATGTTCAAGATTACATAAGTCAGGATTCCAGATCTTCATACTCTTTTCAGTACACCAAGTTCTTAGCCTGTTATGGTTCAAGTGCTATCAACAAAGCACTTAGGGATCTACTGTACTGAAAATGATTAGGGGTATGGCATCAAGGTTCTTCCCTTCCTCCTCCTGAAAATCAACTGTGTCCATGTCAGAATAACCAGGGGTCCAAATCATTTCCATTTTTCTGGGACAAGTAAATTATAACACACAGACTTATTTGTAAAAGGCCATGAGTCATTTTATTCTGCTTTGGATGGCTAGAGTAGGACTGGTTAACTTTAGAAAATGTTACCAAGATGTTAACTGAAAAAGAGGACTAGCTCTGTAACAGATATCACAGATATATGCCCAGTAATGCAGAGGTATTAGAAAAGTTTCTGGTACTCCCATGAAGGTGATAGTTTCCACAGTCTGGTAGGCTGATCCTTCTTCAAATACATGCAGAACAGAAAAAAGGATACAGATGGGCTTAACTTCTCAAAACTTCATTGTAATAAAGGAGTTACTCTTCAACAAACAATGAAGTTCTCTGGCTTAAAAAGAATTCTTCAGTCTACTCTGGGGTAGCAGATACTAGAGGCAACTGTTTCTTTGGAGTGCTACCAGAGACTGAGATTTTAGCTCCAGTCTCCTAAAAGGGTTTGCTAAAGCTAGAGCACAGTGTGATGAAGATAGAGGACCCTCACTTCTAAAAGGTAAGAGCAAAACTTTTTTTTTTTTTTTAAAGAAAAGTCACAGGTTAAATGAGAAGCAGTTCTTAAACTGCTTAGCAACCTGGACCAACTTCTGTTAAGTTTTGGATCCTGATGGAAAACTCATCCTGACCACGCATGCCTTGCCCAAGGTACCAAAACCTTCTATTTTTTAAAACAAGGCAATGTGAGTAGGAACCACCTCTGAGCTCCATTTTCTGTGACAGTAAGTTTAACAAAGGAGAATAAGTTATCTTAATGGCCAGCTTTTAAAATGAGCTTTCAAAAGGCCACCCAGGTAAAAAGAGAATGTCCTTATGGTATCAGTAATGTTTTATCAAAGACTCACTTCAGGGGAGTCTTCAAGTTTTACTCAATACCCATCCCCATCAACTGGCCTCATTTAGTAAGAAATAATAAAAACTAAGGTTAAGAGACAGGAACGGTTAAATCTGTGATCATAATGTCATAAGCATTACTTCTGGCAAAGACCAACAAACAGGAAGAGGAAATAAGGACTTGTCCCTGTTCTCACCGTTTCATTTGCTTCCTGTTGCTTTTCATCGAAATCTCTGATCAGCTTCTTCTTCTCTTCTGGAAAAGATAGATGAGTTTTAAATACTCAATCCTGCCTCCAAATATTTATTTGTAGAGGACATACCCTCTGCTTAGAATATACTCCCCATTCCCTTCCTGGGGGTACCCTACAGTACTTAATCACCCCTAAAAGACATTTAGAAATGTAAGGGAACTAGTTACCACAATTAACCGGGGGGGCGGAGAGGGATGGTATTATCCCTGGCATTTAAGTGCCCAGGGAACAAGACAAGAGTACCTATGCTAGGACAGTCCTGTGTAACTATGATCTGGCCCCAAAGACCAATAGCATTCCTACTTAGAAAGAAAACAGGTCTAAGTTATTGTCAATCTTTCTTCACCGACCCTTTGTTAGACACACCACGCTTTGATCGATAAGAATGTTTAACAATACCAGTTCTCTGAAATCTTCATCCCCATGGTAAATCATATCTCTACATTAACACTTATCCACTGCTTTTCTGCAAAATATATTCAGAGCCCCTACTTTGCTCTCTGGAGAGTCTGCAAGGCATACAACACAAGTCTCTTAGCCATACCCTCTGGCAGCAGTATAGGAAATGATGTAAAATACCACTGACTCACACAGGGGAAAATGTCATTCCTTGTTCAATCCTTTGCATCATGTCATTTTAGTTCTAGTATGTCTTTAATACCTAAAAACTACTAATCTCCTCTTAAAAAAAAAACAGAACAGGCTTTAGCCTCAAAGTAAGGACATCTAACTAAACCAGCATTGTTTTGTCTTCATTGTAGCTTTTCTGATCATATAGCTAGGTTCTATAGATTTTCCATCTAAAGCAGTGATATAAAATTTCTTTTAAAGTAATTTTATGTTAAATAAATGGATTTTACATGAAATACTGATATAAAGGAAATAATTACAGTAAAAATGGTGTTTAGACACACCACAATGATGAAGGGGAGTACCTGGTAAACTGTATGGGGGAAGTGCTGGGGAGTAAATGGGCTTAGGTTTTGGTCTTAGCTTTGGGCCTAATTCAACATATAAGCCTGGAGAATTCTCTTCATCTTTTTGGGATCTAACCTCCTTCCTTGGCTCGGAAATGAGGAGGCAAATCACACCTAAGAAGCAAAGATTAGCCCTATTTATGAGGAGTTTCTTTTTTTCAAATGTATACAGTAAAATGAACGTTCTCCCTGGAAATCTACACATAATCTACTTATTACCACAAAACTGTCACTGCTTATAATATTTTTTGAACTCATCTTTTGGGATTACATTCACAATCTGGGATACTTTTTTAAAAATTGTGGTAAAATACATATAACATAAAACTTACCATTTTGACCATTTTAAGTGTACAGTTAAGTGGCATGAAGTACATTCACAATGTTGGGCAACCATCACCATTATCCATCTATAGAACCTTTGCATCATCCCAAACTGAAACTCTACACCCAGTAAACACTAATTCCCTATTTCCCCTCCCCTCAGACTCTGATAACCACAATTCTCCTTTCTCTACCTATGAATCTGACTACTCCAAGCACCTCATATAAGAAGAATCATACAGTATTTGTCTTTTGGGTTTGACTTATCTCACTTAGCCTAAGACCTTCAAGGTTCCTCCATACCGCAGCATGTATGAGAACAGTCCATGTGTTTTTCACTCAGTGTGATTTCCAAATACAAGCCAGCACTGCCATCAGCTGAAGAAAGCGCAATCTTTACCAATGCCAAGAAAACAGCAGAGTAAGGCCTACGAAGGGATGGCATGCAGGTACTCAACATGCTGTCCTAAGATTTTCTTGGATAATTTTGTTTACCCTGATTTTCATCTCACACCTTGACTTTCAAACCCAATCCCATGTTGGAAGTAACGCCACTGTCATGCTTTATATAGATTTACATTGTGTTAATCACATAGCATCTAGCATGTCAGCTGTCCACTACTTTTTAACTGATCGTAAATCACTTGGCTGTATATATTCTATATTCTCAACTTGAGCTCAATCTCCCTCTGAGTACAGAAATTTACTTTTTCTTTTATACATCCCATAGGTTCTAGAACTCTAAACCTGGTAGGGTGCTTCTTAGACACTGTTACTGCCTGCAAGAGTCAAGTGACAATCCACCCTTTACTAAGCTGCATTCATTGTCATGTGCATTCCCTTAATACATATTCCAGGTGAACAATTTTTCACCACACACTGCTCACAACGCACCCCCGCCCCAACAAAAGGAGAAAGTTCAGGCAAAGCAAAAGGCCTACCTCTTGACCAACCATGAGGTAACCACCATGAAATTACCACCACAAGTGAAAGTGTTAGTTGTTCTTTGCAACCCCATACGGTAGCCCACCAGGCTCCTCCGTCCATGGGATTCTCCAGGCAAGATCACTGGAGTGGGCAGCCATTCCCTTCTCCAGGGGATCCCCCTGACCCAGGGACTGAACCTGGGTCTCTCACACTGCAGGCAGATTCTCCCTGTCTGAGCCAGCAGGGAAGTGCCAGAGCAGCCTTATTATCCTTGAGTGGGCTGTGTTTCCACCCATCAGCAGTGAAATAATATCTGCAATCAAGAATGGCTACTTCCATGGAGAGCTATCATATTATTTTATAATAAGCATTCACAAAAGTGTTGAGTGTCACCACTCCTCTGAAGAGGCACATCTCCAAACCCAAGCACACTCACTCAGTTCTGATCCAAGATGACAGTGTTCTTTAAGTGCATTCTGGTCCTAGATTTTTCTACATCTCTGTTAGTCCCAAGTTCTCCTCGTTTAATCTTTGTTAAAGGATACGAGTATCTGCATTCCTAAGAGACAAATTCTAGAATAATTCAAAGAATGCAGCTGTATAATAAGAATCGGGGTGGGGGGTGGCAAGGTAGTCCACAGAGTCTTGATCCTTTCACAAACTTCCCTGCATGATTCTGTTATTCTCAGTCTTTTTGGAATACTCTATTCTTTGATTTCATAAGACATATCTTCTCCTAGGAGTGCTCTAAAGCCTATACACTTTTAAAGATTCAAGGGACTGAACCCTTACCCAACTGAGAGGTATCAATACCTGTTCCTTTATGCTTTGCTCAGAACTGTGAGATTAATGAATGTTAAGAGCTGAGCTGGCCCTCAGAAATCATTTTACAGGTGAGGAAACTAGAGCCTGGAGACTGTCTTCCCCGAAGCCACAGAAAAGAGAAGATGTGTGGCAACACTAGTTACAGAATGCAAGTCTCTAACTACGGCACTGCACACTTGTGTGCACCATGGCACCGAGGGGTACTTTCACACTCCCAAGATACACAGGTACAATCTTTTCAAATCTCTTCATTTTTTAGGGAGCTAGAATTAACACTACAATCAACTACAAAACAGCAGGACTGATAGCAGGTAGACTGGACACCGGAAACTCAGAAAGAATGAGCTACTCCAAATAACACTATTCCTGACCCCTCATGTCTTTCCAAACCATTCACACGTGAGTGACTCACTCTGAAGCCGAACGTCTGGTAAACTAGGTGCACGGCAGCACAATGTCTCAGACACGGAATAAAATGGAAACACACAGCTCTGAAAGTGCTAGAGGAAGCCTACCGCATCTTAACCAAGGTGGCAGCCTCTCCATCTTGTAGAAAAAGAAAAGAAGGTAGCTCAGTCATGTCAAAACTCTTTGTGACACCATGGGCTATACAGTCCATGGAATTCTCCAAGCCCGAATACTGCAGTGGGTAGCCTTTCCCTTCTCCAGGGGATCTTCCCAACCCAGGGATCGAACCCAGTTATTCCGCACTGCAGGTGGATTCTTTACCAGCTGAGCCACTTGTAGGCGGTTTGAATTTTCACAACCCCAGAATGACTCATCTTGGTCCATTAGAACTGTGGAAATAACTTCAGTTTTACCAGGATCTTTAAAATTTGTGATTAATGCTTTTGGCGCCCCCTTGCAGCATTTCTAGGACCTACATCCTCTTTGCAGACCTCATGGTTAACCTGATCTCACACCATAAAGGAAGTTAAAGCATCAGATCCCTCTAAGCCCGTTTCCTCAATTATAAATAAGAAATATAACAGCACTGACCTGTATAGTTGTCTGAAAAAGACAATACACATAACAAACACGCAGCAAACGCTAAGCACATTAAGGGTTCAATAAACAGTGCTACCACTGTTTTTTAAAGTAAATTCCTAGGTAGGAAGAACTAAGCAAAAACTAAATTTAAAGAATATGAACACCATGGAATATTACTCAGCCATTAAAAAGAATTCATTTGAATCAGTTCTAATGAGATGGATGAAACTGGAGCCCATTATACAGAGCGAAGTAAGCCAGAAAGATAAAGACCATTACAGTATACTAACACATATATATGGAATTTAGAAAGATGGTAACGATAACCCTATGTGCAAAACAGAAAAAGAGACTCCTATGTATAGAACAGACTTGTGGACTCTGGGAGAAGGCGAGGGTGGGATGTTTCAAGAGAACAGCATTGAAACACGTATATTATCTAGGGTGAAACAGTTCACCAGCCCAGGTTGGGTGCATGAGACAAGTGCTCGGGCCTGATGCACTGGGAAGACCCAGAGGGATCGGGTGGAGAGGGAGGTGGGAGGGGGGACCGGGATGGGGAATACATGTAAAAAAAAAAAAAAAAAGATACACTATGGTTGTGATAAAAAATAAATAAATAAATAAATAAATAAAAAAGAAAAAAAAAAAAGAATATGAAGTGTTGGAAAAATTAAAATTCTGCAGCCAGTGAGTAACTGTGTTTACCGACCTGCTACCTATGGTCCTCCATAGTTATCATTTTTTCTGGTTTCCAAAATAATGGAGTTTCGTGTATAGCAATTGAAACTTAAGTGAATTAAAGTGAAAAACTGAATAATTTTACAATGCTCATTACAACATGTGAAGAGATGCCTTCAGGTGCTACTAAACTAAAACTAGAAATCACGACTATAGGTACTTACTATATTAACTGGATAACAATTTACAGCAGCTTGAGATATGTGGAGAGACCTCTTCAGATGCTGCAAAACTAAGACTACAAATTATTGTTGTGGGTGTTTAAAGTAATAATAAATGGATTAATAAGTATCACAAATGCTAATGGACTGTCACTGCCATACAAACTTCCTAAAGTAAGACACATTGTGTCTGTTAATCCTATCCTTTTTAAAAATAGGTATACAATGATTTTAAAAGTGATGACAATATGGATAACATGGTAAATAAAATCACCTTCAGTTTCAACATTTAATCAGACATTGATAGTTACTATCTTCTTCCCAACAATTCACAGTATTTATACAACCATTCAACAAATATTTATAGAGCACCAAGTATGTACTAGGCATTGTTCTAGGTGCTTGAGTGCTAAGTTGCTTTGGTCATGTCTGACTCTTTTAGACCCTATGGACTGTAGCCTGCACCAGGCTTCTCTGTCCATGGGATTTTCCAGGCAAGAGTACTGGGAGTGGGTTGCCATATCCTTCTCCATCTAGATGCTTAGGATATAGAATTAACAAAACAGACAAAATATAGAGCTTACAACAGAAGAGGAGGGAATGCTTCCAAAGTCTTCTATGAGGCCAGCACTGCATCGATACCAAAACCAGAGAACATCACAAGAAAAGGAAATTACAGGCCAATATCCCTGATGCAAAAATCCTCAACAAAATATTAGCAAAACGAAGGGCATTTTCCACAGAAACAGAACGAACAATCCAAAAATTTGTATGGAACCACAAGAGACCGCAATTAGCCAAAGCAATCTTGAAAAAGAAAAACGAAGCTGGAGGCATCATGCTTTCTGATTTCAAACTACAGCTGACCCTTGAACAAGGGTCTGAACTGGGCAGGTCCCCTTTATACACACATTTTTTTCAATAGTAAATTCTATAGTACCATATAACCCGTGGTTGGCTGAATCGGCAGATACTGAGGAACCTTGGATAGGAGGGCCAACAAGCTACACTTGGATTTTCAGCTACACAGAAGGTTGGTGTTCAAGGGTTAACTGTATATTATAAAGCTAAAGTAATGAAAACAGTATGGTAACTGGCACTAAAACAGATTCAAACCTCAATGGAATGGAAAAGACAGCCCAGAAAAAAAAAAACCAAAACCCACCAATGTATGGTCCCCAGTATATTTCTGTGCCTCTTTCAACCTCTACTCAGTCACCAGCATTCTCCTTCTAAAATACAATCATATGGTCTGATTTTATTTTAGAATCTGTATTTTGTTCAGGATTTTTGCATCTATGTTCATCAGGGATAGTGGCCTGTAATTTTCTTTTCTTGTGATGTTTTCTGCCTTTGGTATCCACGTGGGCTGGCCTTTAAAAGAATTTAAAATCCTTTATTGATTCTCCATATCAAGTTTAGATGTCTTAATGTGATATTTAGGTCCCTTAAGGGTCTGGCTGTGTCTCACTTAACCTCATCTACTACTGATCTCACATACACATCTTAAGTTTCAGTCATAGTTCTGAATATGACTTTTTTTTTCCCCTTCCTTTGTTGTCTCTTCTCATTTCCCCTCTCAGGCAAACTCCCGCTCAACCCTTTACAGTCAGAAGCTTCTCCTTTCTGAGAAGCTTTCCTCTCACTCCCCTACGGCCACGTTAGCCTTTCTGTCATGGTCTCAAAACTATCTTAGGACTCATCACACACTTTGGAAATTTGCTCCCATTTAAGGCAAGAACTCATAGAGCTCCCCAGACCCAGGATACTGAGTGATACATAATTTTTGATAAATGTTTATTGAAAATATTCAATTACAGAGCATAAGCTAAATGCAAGGGATGTGTTATGTATTAATATATTATTCAGTGCTTAATAATTCATGATAGGAAAGCTTTGGAAAGCCTATGAAGTCGTCTCAGGACAAGAAAAAAAGAATTCAGAGATGACGCCCCAGTATGTTTGCTTAATTAAATTCAATTTATTCAACAAATATTTATTGAGGAATATAAACAGAGTAATGAATAAAGAGACTAAAGGTTGTTGAATTTTTTATAACCTGGGGATGTGCAAATACTATATATACTTACCCACTGAACAACTAAGTGTTAACAGCAACTTGTGTTGAGAATATTTTGTACTTGAGTAGAAATTCACACCTTTTTGATTGTCCTCTTTGCAGCAATTAGAAGTTCAGGTAGATGACAAAAGTGAATACAACTAAGTTTTCTATTTTTGGAAACAGAATGTCCTTTGGCATTATTTAGCCTTCCCTGACGCTCAGTTGGTAAAGAAGTCGCCTGCAATGCAGGAGACCAAGTGCAATGCAGGAGACAGGGGTTTCTGTCCCTGGGTTGGGAAGATCCCCTGGAGAAGGAAATGGCAACCCACTCCAATCTGGGAAACACCATGGACAGAGGAGTCTGGTGGGCTACAGTCCATGCGGTTGGAAAGTCAGACACGACTTAGCAGCTAAACCACAACCACACCCTTAAAGAAACAAACCTTGCAAAATTTAAATAACACCAGGATGAAAAAATGATCTATTTTTCAACCATGTAAATCAGATCCAATCACTCTCCTGTTCTGCAGCCTTTAACTTCAAGTCACTGTATTTAGATAAAGATGCAAATCTTTCACCATGATTCACGTGGCCTCACACAATCTGGCCCTTTAAAACCTTATCTTCTACTACTATTTCCTTTGCTCATTCCACCCTAAACACACTGGCCCTTTGGTTCTTCCTAGAGCGTACCAAGCTCACTTCTGCTGAAGGACTATTGCAGTACTATTCTGTCCTCCTGAAACGTATTTCTCCCAGATTTTTGCATGGTTCACTCCCTTACTTCAAGTCTTTGCTCAAATGCCACCTCCTCAAAGAGGCCTTTCACAGCCACCAAATTTACAATGAGAGCTTCCCCATTCCTTGCCCTGCTCTATTTTCCTGTATGGCCCTTAACACCACTTCCTAATATTTATATATCATCATCGACCCATAAGAACAGAGATCTGTAAGTCTTTTCACAGCAGTTTGCAATATTACCAGCATCTAGACAGTGCCTAGCGCACAGCAGCCTCTCTCAATAAGTATATGTTAAACAAAAGTATGAGTTTCATTCTCACCAGAGTCATTCAATTCATGTGACCTTGGGTAACTCTCAGAGCAAACACTCAAGCTTCCACGCTTCAGTAAAAGCAATGAAAGTCTCATCGGCCTTGTCATCAAGATCTACTTGTTTTAAGGCAAAGAACTATGATAGACCTTCCTATACAGATTCAACCAGAAAACTCCTAGCTCCCCCAAGCCAAGCTTGCAGCACACTGCATTATGAAATCAAGGGGCAGGAAGGTCTAAGCACAGGTCATAAAAGGATCGCACCTGAAGGCCACCATCCTCATTTAAAAAACCAATCCCTAAAAAAAAAAAATAAAAAATAAAAAATAAAAAACCAATCCCTCCCCCAACCCCCACCCGCCCCCAAGACTGGTTATTTACACCAGCCTCAAAAGTTATGATGGCTTTGGGTTCTTAACCCTTTTTGTGCTACAGGTCCTTTGCCAGTCTGGTGAAAACTATGGGCCTCTTTGGAGAATACTTTTAAGCGTGGAAAACAAAATACTGAGAGCCACAAAGAAAACCAATTATACTCAGTTTACAGAATTAAAGGTCACAGCTCTAAGGTGTCTCATGCCCATCATGCCGTAGTGAAAATGAAACAAGCGAACTCTGAAGGCTACAGGGGATTCAAGAGAGAGATGACACTCCGTGGTGGATCCCTGAGTTCCTAAGAGGCAGCACGGAGATTCTGGATGCCGGGACTCAGCCAGCCCTAGGGGGCGTGTCTGAGGATGCCAAGCGAGGAGACGGGAGGGTGGGCCTGGGAAGGAGGTGGGGGCTCTTCCTCCGGGTGCTAGCGGAGCGCTGTTCCTGTTGGCTCATCCCGCCCCCACCTCACCTGTCCCTGCCATCCCCAGGAGCCGCTCCGGCACCCCTCGTAGGTCTTCATGGAGGCCGCGGAAGATCTCGTGCAGTTTCTCGAAATGCTCCGAGGAGGCGGCGGAGGTGGCCATGGCGCAGGCCGCTTTCGAGCAGCAGGCGCCGAAATTCTGGGCCCAGGGCCCGTTCCTACTCCGTCGTCAGCCGCCCAGCCCCGCAGGCATCACGGCGACCGCCACCACTGTCGCCCAAGACGAGGCGCTTCCGGGGCCGCGGCGGGGTCCTCCCCGGCCGGAACGCCCACCCCCCGCATGCCGTCACTGACGGCGCGCCGGGCGCCAAAGCCTGACAGAAAGTTAGTATGGCTCCGTTGCCCGGGGGACTCCTGAAGGGGCGGCGGCGCTTTGGCGCGAGCGGCGGTCTCGGGACCCCGGAAATGCTCAGTCCGAGGCTGGGGGGAAGCCCTTTGGCGGAAGGAAAACATGGGCACCCGCGGGCCGGGCGACGCGGCCGCCTCTTTCCTGGGCCTCGCCTTCCGGCAAGGGTTGGGGGCGCTGCAGTGCATGCCGGGGATTGTAGTTCGGCGCGGAAGACGCTCCGACTCGGAAGTCAGCAGTTGCTGGGGGCGGTGGTCCTGCTGTAACCGTGGCCGCCGGCGTGACCCTGATGTGCAGCGGTTAGGTATCAGTTGGTACCTGGCCGTCGTCTTCATAATCATCTCACTGTGTGACTATCCTGACTTCCTCAGTTCACATTCCAGCTGTTAGCTTTCAGTTCTCAGAAGATAGTTGGACCAGGTGACTGCCTGCCCCCGAGCTGAAAGCACTTTTATTGGGGAGCAGGTGACCGAAGTGACATGCTTTCAGGAGTGGTCCCCAGGCAGCAGTGCGACCCCTCAAATATAAGCTCAGCCTCTAGCGGTTGGGCTTGCTCATGCATTCACTCACTCAGTCAATTTAAGCGTAGCCTTTATGCTGGGATCTGGGCATGTGCTGGTGAATAAAAGATTCACCCTCTGCGCTTGGATAATTTATAATGTAGTGAGCAAGGCAGACCTGGCTTCATCAGGTCTCTTTCCCATTAAGTGTAATGTGTTAACAATTACAAAGACTTTTCCTGCACTCTGTGGGTTTCCATGGTTTCAGTTCAGTTCAGTTCACTCAGTCGTGTCCTACTCTTTGCGACCCCATGAATCACAGCACTGCCAGCCCTTCCTGTCCATCACCAACTCCCGGAGTTTACTAAAACTCATGTCCATCGAGTTGGTGATGCCATCCAGCCATCTCATCCTCTGTCGTCCCCATCCTCTGCCCCCAGTCCCTCCTAGCATCAGGGTCTTTTCCAATGAGTCAACTCTTCGCATGGGGTGGCCAAAGTATTGGAGTTTCAGCTTCAGCCTCAGTCCTTCCAATGAACACCCAGGACTGATCTGCTTTAGGATGGACTGGTTGGATCTCCTTGCAGTCCAAGGGACTCTCAAGAGTCTTCTCCAACACCACAGTTCAAAAGCATCAGTTTTTTGGTGCTCAGCTTTCTTCACAGTCCAACTCACATCCATACATGACCACTGGAAAAACCATAGCCTTGACTAGATGTATCTTTGTTGGCAAAGTAATGTCTCTGCTTAATAATATGCTGTCTAGATTGGTCATAACTTTCCTTCGTGTCTTTTAATTTCATGGCTGCAATAACCATCTGCAGTGATTTTGGAGCCCCCCAAAGTAAAGTCTGCCACTGTTTCTACTGTTTCCCTATCTATTTGCCATGAAGTGATGGAACCAGATGCCATGATCTTAGTTTTCTAAATGTTGAGCTTTAAGCCAGCTTTTTCACTCTCCTCTTTCACTTTCATCAAGAGGCTTTTTAGTTCCTCTTCACTTTCTGCCATGAGGGTGGTGTCATCTACATATCTGAGGTTATTGATATTTCTCCCAGGATTCTTAATTCAGCTTGTGCTTCTTCCAGCCCAGCGTTTCTCATGATGTACTCTGCATAGAAGTTAAATAAGCAGGGTGACCATATACAGCCTTGACATACTCCTTTTCCTATTTGGAACCAGTCTGTTGTTCCATGTCCAGTTCCAACTGTTGCTTCCTGACCTGCATATAGTTTTCTCAAGAGGCAGGTCGGGTGGTCTGATATTCCCATCTCTTTCAGAATTTTCCATGGTTTAGTGGGGGAAATTCCTATTTCCGTTGATTACATGGTTTGCCTATGGAGTTCATTCTGAAATGTTTCCTCGGCAGCCCAATACTGAAGACTGCCCACACATTAAGATACATATGACTGTTCAGGGGGAAATGATTTGGTGATGTATATCTCTTTGGCCCTTATTTTTATTAGACTGAGTTCACTGACCTTTGATTCAACAAACATTTGTTGAGCTCTTTGTGTAGCCAAGTCTCCAGTTGTCAGTAGCAGTGTACTGTGATAAGTCCCATGAAAGTGAAAAGTGTCAGCCGCTCAGTCATATCCAGCTCTTTGTGATTCCATGGACTGCAGCCTGCCAGGCTCTTCTGTCCATGGGATTTCCCAGGCAAGGATACTGGAGTGGGTAGCCATTCCCTTCTCCAGGGGAATATTTTTGACCCAGGGATGGAACCCAAGTCTTCTGCATTGCAGGCGGATTCTTTATCACTGAGACACCAGCATTCATTGAGCATTCAGAGATAGCGAAGTCTGGGATTGTTAGTAGCAGTGTACTGTGATAAGCCCCATAGCATTGTGTTACAGAAGAGGCAGGTACAAAAAGGAAAGATAATAAATAGCCTGGGTTGGAAAAAGTGGTTTTTGAACAGTGTCACAAAACATTAGTAGAAATGGGTGAATGAACAATCAAATTATCAACAATGCAAGTTAATAGCATTTGAATTGAGACTGCACTGTGGCAAACTCTGGGACAAATTATCCTCATGAATGAGGACTGATTGCATAACCATAGTAATGAAAAGTGTTTTCTTCTTTTGACAGTAATTAAACTGTCATTTAATTGCTTTCTTCTGTTGACTCAAATTAAATTTGCTTAATTATTACAGGCTTTATTCTGGTAAATAAAAACATGGTAAATCATCAAATTTTTTATTTGTCATTGACAGTTCAATATAAATTAAGTAAAATATTAATTCAGTTCTGTACTATTATCAAAAGTTTTCCAATTTTTCCATAAAATGACCATATCTATAGTTTAATGGTCAAAACAAGTTCAACAAAAGATTATTTACAAATATGAGAAGACTATGGTCCTATAACTCTTTTCTCCACCAAAGTGATCATGTAATTATTAGTCCAAGAAAATCACACTCTACTAAAAGAATGTACTCCAAACAAGTGATGGAACATGTTTGTGTTCCAATTTCTCAGACTTCCATTACTTTGGATAAACATTCTTCAAGTAAACTATACAGCAGGCATTTTAATCTTGTCACGGTAATGTAAGGAAATGCCCTGAACGAGTTTTAAAATGACCATAATTACCAATACCAGTCCTTAAGATAATTTTGCTGAATAAAGAATTGGAGGGGTTGGGGGACTGTTTTTGCTTTTTCTGCCACATGGGTTGATGGGTGCTTGTTAAAACAGTGCTTTATCATGCTTGAACACAGGGTAGTCACCCTCAATTCTTCTATTGCTGGATTTTACCATCTTTAGCTGTGCATTAAAAAAAAAAAAAACCTCCCTTTTCTAGCCCCTTCATTGCCTTTGCGTGAATTATCTTCCAGGATTTTTCTCTTTTTTGGACTTCTTCCCTGCTACCTATGTGCTTCTTGGTGGGTAGTTATCAGCATAGACAAGAGTTCATTTCCTATTTGTATCAAAGACTGAATGACACAGGTCTGCTCTGTCTCTGATTATTTATCTGCACTAGGGTCCAGTTTAATACTGTTCCTTTCTGACTATTTTGAATACTCCCAACTGCTTAAAAACACAAGAACACACACAAAGATATACTCAGGGACAATCATTAAATAGCCTTCCTCTTCTGGTTTTCTAAGAGAAACTAAGGCACAAAGAGGAAGCCTCCATGAATTAGGGTAAGTGAAGTCAAGTGGGCTATCTTTTCAAACTGCCTTTTCCACCACCTTCTTGCTGATTTGAAAAACAGCAGAAAAATGAATGACAGTTTAAATTTGATGTTTATTTCTGCCTTTCCGCAAATCTCTGTGGAAATCCAGTAAACTCCACCTTCCTAGAAAAGGAAGTTCTTCTGTGGTCTAGGCATGGGAAAGTGTTTTAGCAGCAGTGGCTTTAGGTTGTCAGAGATAAAGCCATGCCACAATCCAGATTCAGTGAAGAGCTGAGAGAATTCAGGTGTTGGTGCCATGGTGGTTTTCTTAAAAGAAGGACAAACCCTGCTCTTGAGCCAAGCCACTGGGACTCCTAGAGTTTAGCTGAGGCTAAATCATGCCTCCCCTTGAAGGTTGTTTGGTTCAGAAGAACTACATTGTGGACAGAGAGGACAGAAATGAATAAAAAGTGCCATCAATCAACCCCTGCAGCAGCTTAGGTTCCCCTGGGTAAGAGGCTTCAGAAGGGAAAGATGAGTTTGGAGGTCAACTGAGGGTCTACTTAGCCTATATTATCTCTAATAACGGGCAGTAATAGGAGCAAAGTAACCGGGACAAATGCAAGGTGTTTGGATGAATCCGGCAGTGTACACTGGGCTTTCATCAGGCATCAAGCAGGCAAGGTTGGAAGGTCTGCTTTGTGCTCCAGGTTCTGGCCATCCTGAAGGAGAATCATTTTGGCAGGGAGTGCTGAGTAGTCTGCTTCAGGCTTCTCTTGGGTCCAGCTGCCATCATCAGTCAGTCCACAGGGATGCCTAGCAGGTCACAGCTGACATCCCACAGCCGCCTTGCTACCGTCTCATTACGAGCCTGTGCAGAGACCCATGCCACCTGGCAGTCACTGGAAGGGAAAGGAGAGGCTGAGAACACGGGGTTAAGGATGCAGTCTGCCCTCCGCCTGGCATAAGGAACACGACAGAAAAATAACCCAGGGATGACATGTGCTCTGGGTGCTTCACAGGACCAGTGTCTGCCCTTATCTCTTCATTCTCCAGTCTTTATCCCAGAGAAAAATGGGGTCAGAACCATTTTGGAGCTCACTAGACCACCTTGGATCAGAATGTTTGTTTGATATATAATACATATCATTTAGTCTTTATATCCCCCTTGTGTGTGTGTGTGTGTGTATATAAATACTTATTTATAATATCAGTGCCTGGCTGATACCTGTGTATGTCCATCTTGTTCAAATATGTCTGAAAGGTCAACTCTGTAAGATGTTGTATGGTGTCATGTGGCTGAGATACTACATTGCTCATAGATGCTTGGAGTGATTAAAAAAGTGCTTCTTCTTTCTGCAGTGTACCTACAGTTATAACTGTTTTTCAACTCAAAGAACAAGTAAAGTCAGCTTCATAACCAACAAAAGAAGGAAAAGATGATAGGAGAAAAGAAATGGTAACAAGGAGACTTCCCTGGTGGTTCAGTGGTTAAGACACTGCCTTCCAACGAGGTGCAGGTTTGACCCCTGGTTGGAGAGTTAAGATCCCACATGCCTCATTGCCAAAAAAACCAAAACCAAAACAGAAGCAATATTGTAACAAATTCAAAATGACTGTTAAAATGGTCCACATTAAAAAAATACCGTAAAAAAAGAAATGGTAATAAGGTCCCATCTGTTTCATATACCTTCTCTTCACTGTTGTAATTCCGATTATTTTAAGTCCCCATTAAATACAGGACAGATATCCAAACTCTTTACTGCCCAGAAAAGTGTCTCAAGAATAATTCTTTTACTCATTTTTGTATTCTCTGCATCTAGTACACAGCAGGGATTCAGTGAAGGGTTATTTTTTAATGATTGAGTAAAGGGAATCACAATCTTTGAAGTCATGTGAGAAACAATTAAAAAAAATTTTTTTTTCATTTATTTTTATTAGTTGGAGGCTAATTACTTCACAACATTGCAGTGGGTTTTGTCATACATTGACATGAATCAGCCATGGAGTTACATGTGTTCCCCATCCCGATTCCCCCCTCCCACCTCCCTCTCCACCCGATCCCTCTGGGTCTTCCCAGTGCACCAGGCCCGAGCACTTGTCTCATGCATCCAACCTGGGCTGCTGATCTGGAGAAACAATTTTTAAGACTACCATTTTGGGGGCTCCCCTGGTGGATACTCAGTAAAGGATCTGGTCTGCCAATGCAGGAGACACAGGTTCAATCCCTGGTCTGGGAAGATTCCACATGCTGCGGGGCAACTAACACCATTCATCACAACTATTGAGCCTGTGCTCTAGAGCCCAGGAACCTCGACTATTTTGAGCCCACTTGCCGAAACTACTGAAGCCCGCTTGCCCCTGAGCCTGCAGACTCCGCAGCAAGAGAAGCCACTGCAAAGAGAAGCCCACGCATCACAACTGGAGAGTAGCCCCAGCTCACTGAAACTAGAGAAAAGCCCTTGAAGCACAGCCTAAAATAAATAAAATTACTAAAAAACCCAAAAAACAACACTATACTATTTCAGGGCTTTCCTAGTGGTTCTGTGGTTAAGAATCTGCCTGCCAATGGAGGTGACATGAGTTCTATCCCTGGTCCAGGAAAATCCCACTTGCTCCAGAGCAACTAAGCCCATGCTTCACAACTACCAAAGACCTGACGCCTGGAGCCTGGGCTCCACAGCAATGAGAAGCCCAGGCTTCGCAGTGAAGAGTAGCCCTTACTTGCCGCAACTAGAGAAAGCCTGTACATAGCAAAGAAGACCCAGTGCAGCGGCCCCCTGAAATAAATAAATAATTTTTTTTTAAGGGTATAGTGTATCAGACAAATCCAAATAATTTCCCATAGGCAATAAACTTCCATCCTCAAGAACAGACACATTCGTACCTGAAGTGGTTTCCGCTGAGAACCTCCAGGCCCTCCGTTAAGGCACAGTACAGGCTGGTCTGGGCTCCCTGATGAGGGGTCTTGATGAGGAAGGAGAAAAGCCACCAGATCCATCTCATGAGGGCGGAGTGTCGAACCAGCTCAGAGCTGACTGTGCCGGGATGCACAGAGTACACCGTGACGCCAGAGCCGGATGCTAGCGGGCCGGGTAGAAAGAGGAAGAAGGCCTTGATGCTGCCGAGTGGCCAAAGAGGGCGGGAGACATGAGCGAACATTTGCCCGCTGTGGACTCTGTTCTGATGCTGTCACAAGCACGCCTCGCGGTAATGTACACCTTCACTTCACAGATTACGATTCAGGCTCAGCATGGCTATTAACTGTTAGGAAGCAGCAGAGCCAGGACCCGCTCAGAAGCACTTGACCTTGTTGATCACTGCCTTTCTAAAGCTGCCTTTTCACTGATGGTGGTAAATCTCCAGTACTAAATGGAAAGATCTCTAAAGTACTGTGTTAGGATTTCAGTTCCTTATGTATGGTATATACACAGTTAAATGCACAAGAAAACAATTGGAGAGGTGCACGTCAAGTTTTTGACAGTGGTTTCTTAGGGCGGGCAGGGGGAAGCAGAAGAGGGACAGAGAATAAGTGAAGGGGGTTTTTCATTTCTAACTCTGTATACTTCCATATTATTGGAACTTTTCACAGTGAGAATTATTCACGCATTACTAGATTCATTTTACATGGGACAGCTGGATAAAAACTTGCTAATTATTTCTCTTTCCTGTTGGATGTGAACCACTCCATCCCCAGCCCCTAATCCAGTGTGTAGAATAACATGGGCCCTGAATACGTGGCTATTGAATGGCTGAATAAATGACTTTTCCATCACGCCCAGGTTTCTTTCTTGGCATCACGGCTTATTTCCCACCCAATCCTCATCCATCAGGTTTCCTTTCTTGTGTATCCTCTGCTCTTGTCTGATCCTCACAGCTGGACCCATCTCTCCACTTCTATGCCTCCCTAGCACCCTGACCAACTTTTGGTTGATTTTTACCACCCAGTTCCCCTGATCCATTGACAGCTGATAAAGGATATCATGCCCAAGACATAGACTTTCTTCCCCATCTCACAGCTGTTCATGTGGTTTGACACTCCTGTTCCAGCGCTGGAGTGCCTGTGTCTGATTCCTTCTGCCTGATCTGCCTGTCTCAAGTCTAAGCACTTCTAATTGTTCACGTTGGATTTCCTTACTCTTTATTGGAAATCCAGAGTAGACTATGCTAAGGACCTCTGTTTGTGTCTGGAGACTCCCTTCCTCAAGCATACATTTCCCTTTTATTTGACCCTTTGCTGTTAGGGAAATCCCCTCACCCTCTATAGTCCCAGGAGCTGTTTTATCCTAGTGTTTGTAGCCAGTGCCGTTTTGGTCCCTCCATTCTAAGTCAAAAAAAGTCAAAAACCTTCCTTGACTTGCTCATGAGGCTTGAATTAATCATAACAATAACCCATGAAGCAATCCCACTTTACATATGAGGAATTAAGTCTTGCAAAGTTAAGCAACTTATTGCAGGTTATGCAGCTAGTAAATGCCAAAGTCAAGCTTTCAGAACTCCCCCGTCACCTCCAACATTCATTTGTGGGCTGTTTAGTAAAACTATACCCAAGCAGAGCCATGAAAGCAGATGCTGTCCACCAGATGGGCTCCAGAAAACAGCTCTGATTCCTGAGACTTTTAGCTACTTCCCATTGACTCCTGTCTCCATACTCACTTCTTTTAAGCTTACCTTTTAGCCTCCGGGCCAGTTCCTGGGTGAAGAGAATGTTGGCTAATTTGCTGTGACAGTAGGCCAGACCTGAATGATAGAACTTCTCGCCCTGCAGGTTATGGAAGTGGATCCTTCCCAGGTGATGTGCTAAGGAAGACACATTCACCACCCTTGATGGTGCTGATTCTTTCAGCTTTTCTAGCAACAGATGGGTCAGGAGGAAGTGACCTGTGAGAAAAAGAATTAATAGATTTCAGGGCCAATGTGGGGGGAAAGGGAGTAGAGGTGAGCCAGGCTCCGCTAAGGGAGACAGAGAATCCAATAATAAAGCTTTTTGCTTCATTAATTCATTATCAACTACAGAACAAGTTCAATGAGAGTTTAGGGACATAGGAGTGCCAAAGACATGAGACATCCTTTTATGATGGAGGTCTAGATTATGTGAATATGAATTCTCCAGGCCAGGATACTGGAGTGGGTAGCAGTTCCCTTTTCCAGGGGATCTTCCCAACCCAGGGATCAAACCCAGGTCTCCTGCATCGCAGGCAGAGTCTTTACCAGCTGAGCTACCAGGGAAGCCCTCATGAATATGAAGTCATATCTTATTCCAACTTTGAATAACATCACTGTTGCAGGGAGGAAGCCAATTCTGACCCCAGGATGGGGTCAGCAAGTCTTTGACTTGCTTTTTGCTGCTTTTGTTATTAAAATCATACAGAATGGTTTGCCTCAGAGAATCCTGCCCCTCTGTCTGGCTGTTAAACTAAAAGTGTCTTTGTTCAGAACCCTGTCCACCTGTGGATGGTAGGAAGGGAGAAATTAACACATCCCATGCCTGAGGCTTGCCATTCCAGCAGATGTTTGCAAGATTAACTGTCTTTTTACTTTGCTTCCTTACCTATCCCCATCTCTGATCTATAATAGAACCTGGCATCCAGACCCTGATAAGATGGTTACTTTGAGGTGCTAGCCTGCCATCTTCTCAGTCTGCCTGCTCCCTGATTAAAGTCTCTTCCTTGCCTCAACACCTCGCCTCTCGAATTCATTGGCCTGTCGTGCAGTGAGCAGAGTAAGCCTGGACTAGGTAACAACTGTTTAAGAGCCGATGGCCCCCATTTGATGCCTGCCACAAAGGTGGCTACAAAGAAAGCGACATAGCACCCACTGCAATTAGGTTAAGTTAAACTAAATGTGAAGCACAGATTAAAAAATGGGAGGAACTTCAAGGGAGCATGAGCTTTCTGGCAGGACCACACTAGTTATTAAATTAATATATTTATGGTCTGTTATGGAAAAGACTCTTGAGAGTCCCTTGGACTGCAAGGAGATCCAACCAGTCCATCCTAAAGGAGACCAGCTCTGGGTGTTCATTGGAAGGACTGATGCTGAAGCTGAAACTCCAATCCTTTGGCCACCTCATGCAAAGAGTTGACTCATTGGAAAAGACCCTGATGCTGGGAGGGATTGGGGGCAGAAGGAGAAGGGGACAACAAAGGATGAGATGGCTGGATAGCATCAACAACTTGATGGACATGGGTTTGGGTGGACTCCGGGAGTTGGTGATGGACAGGGAGGCCTGGTGTGCTGTGATTCATGGGGTTGCAAAGAGTCAGACACGACGGAGCGACTGAACTGAACTGATGGCCTAGAGGTCCATTCACACCACAAAGAAGGTGCCATATGATCCTAAGTTTTCCAATGAGAATTTAAGTTTCCCTTTAGCTTTGTGATGAGACAAGATTTCTTACCTAAGTGGTTGACTCCTATATGCATCTCAAAGCCATCTGCTGTTTTGGAGTAGGGACACATCATCACTCCTGCGTTGTTGATCAAAATGTGGAGATGCTTTTCCTCTGCAGGGAAGAGGAGAAGGAGAGTGCACGTGGCCAGCCACGCCTGTTGCATCTTCGAAATCGGCCCCACACCCATGCTTTGAAAAGGGGGATGCATGGCTTCAATCTTTCCTCCATTTTCCCTTCATATTTATTTTGTATTGTTTTTCATTTTAAGATGCTAGTTGAATCCTACATATTCTTAACTAAAGGGAAAATTTCCACATGACATGACCAAATGGCCTTTCCAATCTTTCCAATTCAGGACCTACTGACTCACTGCTTTTGGGAAGTGTTCTATCTCTCCCAATAGAAAGACTTCCTCAGCTGAATGAGAAATTCCAAAACAAGAGAAAAACAGGATGTTTGGTATGCCTCCCTGCCACTCGGTTTCAGGCCCCCAAAGAAACACTGGTTTTACCTCTGTTTCAATTGCCAACTCTCTTATGATTTCTTTTTTCATATCATTTGTAATTTTTGTCTAAAAGCATGTATCAGTGGAAGCTGTGTTCCCTGGGAGGACTAGATCCCTGGGTTATGAGGGAAAAAGTCTACAGAACGCTCTTGGACTTGCTTTTGATGTGACACTACAGGATTTTATGTTAATTTCTGGGCTTAAGTTTCTTGCATAGTTAGTGATGTGAATGAAATTCCCTCCTCCCCCATAAATGTCAGCCTAAAGTTCTAATTTCTTGCAGATGACTTTTTATTCATCCACCTCCTAGAGAGATGATAGGCTTCTTTGTCATATCCTTGAGCAGCTGGCCTGGGTTTTTTTTTTTTTTTTAAGCCCCTGTACCATGGACCAGATGTCTTTTTGTGGATCCCAGCCTGACGTGGAGCCTCAAGTACAGCAACCCAGCCCTCAAAATCCTGAGGCCTCATCTCTTATCTCTATATGGATATTTGGACTCCAGACCATATGGAGTTGTAGTACACATATGAGATTTTTGGCTTTAGTTCTTATGCACTACTATGACATTTTTGGGTGAATTTTATTTATTTATTTATTTTTGGCTCTGCTGGGTCTTCGTTGTTGCATGTAGGCTTTCTCTAGTTGTGGCAAGAGGGGGCTACTCTCTGGTTGTGGAGTATGAGCTCTAGGTAGGTATGGCTCACAGGCTTAGTTGCCCCGAGGCATGCAGGATCCTCCTGGACCAGGGATCGAACCTGTGTCCCCTGCAACGGCAGGTTGATTCCTAATCACTGGACCACTGCGGAAGTCTGCTATGACTTTTCGAAGTCACTTTTTTTTCTGCCTCTTGAGGAGTTCCCTTTGTTACTAAGGAGTTCCGTTATGAATCCAAAAGGTTTTGGTTGTATCTTGTCTGGCATTTCTAGATGTCAGAGAGGGAGAGGAATCTTTTCCTTTTAGCTAAGTCTTCCATGTTGATTGCAAGACCCACAGCATAGTCCCTAGTTGGACACTTACCTTCTAAGAAGCGCTTAGCAAAGGCTCGAATAGATTTAGTATCAGCCAAGTCCAGTTTCCGCACCAACACTTGTTGGTTCCCTGTCATCATCTGGATTTCTCTGGCCACCAACTCCGCCTTTTGCACGTCCCGGCAAGCTAAATACACACGGGCTCCTGTCAACCAACATATAAGAGAGATAAACTGTTGGCTCTGTTTTTGAGTGAGTATCAAAGACTTAATTCTAATGTTAAATATTATTTTCTACTGTTTGTTTCTAAAAAGGGACTACCCCTACTTCACAAAGAGGTATCCGATGAATAAATCAAGAAAGAAAAATAAATCAACACTTTTCATTATGTCCATTATATGTAGAACATGTACAACATTCAGACCAGCAGATCAGTGGGGCCCTTCAAATGTTCTTGTATTCCAAGCCTGGGAGGAAATAATGAAAATGGTCATCATGGCAAGGGATAAAATAGCAGTAGCAAGCAGGAGACCTAAATAGAAGTTTCTCCAGAGAAGACAGAGGGCCAACAGGCACATGAAAAGATGTTCAACATTGTTAACTATTAGAGATGCAAATCAAAACTACAATGAGATATCACCTCATACCAGTCAGGATGGACATTATTAAAAGTCTACAAATAACAAAAGCTGGAGAGTGTGTGGAGAAAGGGGAACACTTCTATGCTGTTGGTGGGAATATAAGTTGGTACAGCCACTATAGAAAATAGTCCTCAGAAAACTAAAAAATAGAATTATCATATGAACCAGAAATCTATTCCTAGGCATATATTTTGACAAAACTATAAGCCCAAAAGATACATGCACCTTTATTTCATAGCAGCACTATCCACAAAAGCCAAGACAAGGAAAAACCCAAATGTCCACTGACAGATGAATGGATAAAAAAGATACGGTACATATATACAATGGAATTCTACTCAGCCAAAAAAAGAATGAAATAATGCCATTTGCAGCAACATGGATGGAACTAGAGATTATCATACTAAGTGAAGTTAAGTCAGAAAGGGAAAGACAAATACGATATGATATCACTTACATGTAGAGTCTAAAATATGACACAAATGAAGCTATCTGCAAAACAGAAACAGTCTCACAGACACAGAGAACAGACTTGTAGTTGCCAAGGCAGAGAAGGGAGGAGGTTGCATGGATTGGGAGTTAGGGGTTGGCAGATGAAAACTATTACATATAGAATGGATAAACAACAAGGTCCTACTGTTGAGCACAAGGAACTATATTCAATATCCTGAGATAAACCATAACGGAAAAGAATATAAAAAAGAATGCATGTATAACTGAATCACCTTGCTGTACACAAAGTGATGAACACAAATAAACACAACATTGTAAAATCAACTATAAGGGTGTTAGTCATTCAGTTGTGTCTGACTCTTTGAGACCTCATGGACTGTAGACTGCCAGGCTCCTCTGTCCATGGAATTCTCCAGGCATGAATACTGGAATGGGTAGCCATCCCCTTCTCCAGGGGATCTTCCTGACCCAGGGATTGAACCTGGGTCTCCTGCATTGTAGGCAGATTCTTTACCACCTGAGCCACCAGGGAAGCCCCAAATCAACTATACTTCACTTAAAAAAAACAACAAACAAACTAGTAGCAGGAGGGAAAGCAGATAGACTTGCCTCTTCCAGCCAGCTCTTTGGCGGTCTCTTTCCCGATGCCTGTGTTGGCTCCAGTGACCACAGCCACTTTTCCAGGAAGCTGGACGGTTGATGTACAAACCCCGCTGGACAGCATCTTCCTGCAGACAGAGGAGTTATCAGTTCTTCATTTTCTTTGCCTTAGCCAGAGGTTCCTGCAACAACCCCATATCTACACATCCCAAGGCTGATGGCTGTTTTCATTCCTTCTGCTGTCCTTTTACAGACTGAAGGAAGACTGGAGGAAAGAAAACAAAAGTTTTCTGCTCTTATGACTTTCTTGCTCAAATATTTTCTGCTCTTAAGGACAGAAATGATTATATTGTAAGGGCAACTTTAACTTTAGCTCCTTGCAGTACACAAGAACTGGATGAATATTTGAGCTCCTGGTGGAGCCCTTCCTTGGGTTGAGGAAATCACAAGACTCAGCCTAGAAAAAGAAAGAATTAACTGATGTTAATCGGTCCATAACTGGCACTTTATGGCCTTTATGTTGACTAAAACAGCTTACTCAACAAAAAAAGTTAAAAATTATGAAAGCTTGTCAACCTGGGACAAAATGAAACGAGTCACCCCCGCCCCCCAGCCCCCTACACATGAACACAGTTAAAAATAAGGCAAAGCATGATGTAAATAAGTACAGAGTGGAACTCGATATTCCAGTCCTGGTTTATCCTGGTTTAATCAGTACAAGTCCCTCTTCCTAAGCAATACACTACCTTACTTCTCCAAAGGACTGAATGCATAAACAGGTATTAGATCTTAGAGTGTCCTTTACTCTGCAAAGCCTGGGGACTCAGTTTAAAAGAATCAGTTGACTGGGATATGCATTTTTTAATTTAAATGTTTCATTGAAAATTGGAAAGCACACACTGCTAGCCACTCAAGTTTCTGCTTAGAACAAACAGGCCGATAAGGAAGCAAGGTGCCCACCAGCGGGTATCTTTCTCCTCAGACAATCCTCCCCGCTCAGTTTTCCCCCGTCCATTCCGCTTCTCCTCCAGGAGCACCCACGAGGACCTCAACCCAGCTGTTCCTTCTCCTAACCAGCAGGAAAGAAAGAGACAACTACGGAAGTCCAGCTCTGGTCCAGCCCCCATGACCTAGCTTGGTAAGTTGGGAACATGACCCTTGGAGTATAACTTTGATTAGAAAAATCTCTTTGAAGTATGAGCAGGATTTTCAGCTCAGTTCAGTCGCTCAGTCGTGTCCGACTGTTTGCGACCCCGTGGACTGCAGCACGCCAGGTTCAACGTTTCACGGAGATTCTGTGTGGATCAGAGGATGTTGTGGCAAAAAAGAAAGAAAAAGCAGCGTATTCATCCGAGTATCGCACTCGTGTGAGAGCGAGGTGGGAGCTCGGCGAGTTCAGAACAACAAAATTGGAGAAGCGGCTCGAACGAGGAGAGGAACGAGGAAGGAAGGGGTGAATGTGTAAGAAACGGCGGAGGGTGATCTAGCGCGCCTTCCAGTTACAGTCGGACCTTGGACTGCATCTCTTCTCCCCGCCACCCAATCCCCACCGAGGGAAGGAGTGTTCTCCGCATGCACAGGTCCACCGTCACTACTGGTGACTTACTCAGAACCAATCAGCAGGCTGCCTGTCCGGCAACTCGCTGCTGATTCTCTGGGGCACGAAGCCAGCCATTGGCTGATACAGCACCTGGTGAAGAGACCACGACCCTCAACCTCTCCTCCTCACCCCCAAACCCCAGGGCAAGGCTCGGGACCGCCCTCCCCCACGCCGTCCCACCCCATACTTCTGCTGCTAAGGCAGGTTATAAGACAAGAGTGATGAAACCCTTTCATTTCTCTCCTTTACTGCCTCTGCCCAGAGGAAAAGCCAGTCCAGAGAGCAAGCAGTGGGGGTGCAGATGTCATGACTGGCATCGAGGGAACAAAGCGGGGTGCTCCGGACTGCAGCCTCTTCCCACGACCTGGGGGTCTCTTGATCTCGCCCTCCTCTCCCCGGGCAGCTGGACCTCCTCCGACCCACCGGACATCCCCTACCTGGAGCCCCGCAGGGAGTCTTCCTGTCCTCCTTTTGAAGCTCAGAGCTTCGATGAGGATGTATGTCTCCCCCCTCCCCGCGCCCCGCAGATTTCTCTAAGAGGAAGGCGGTACATTTGCACAGACCTGATTTGGGGTGCAGCGATGTACAAGAGAAAGGGGAAAAGAAGGAGCAGGAGCAGGACCCAAAGCATCTCGCCGGGAAGCAGGTGCGGCTGCCGGAGCAGCAGCGAGACGCCGCAGCTGTGCTCGCCGACTGCGGCCTCGCCTCCAAGACACGCCTTGGTAAACTACGACAACGCGGGGAGCAGAGCCTTCTGGGAAATGTAGTCCGAAGCTTGGCATGTGCACTTCTAGTTCCCAGACGCCGAGAGAAGCTGAATCTTGCCCCAGATACGCAAGGACTCCCCAACCGGCTAGGATCTAGGACATTTGGGATCACCCAACCAGCTCTCCCATGGCCCCTCTGGCCACCGTGAAATCTCCCCAGTCCTCTCTGCCCTGGTGCCCAAGTCCAGACCCTGTTCAGGTTTCCCTAATTATGGTTAGTCGGTTACCGCATGTTTCTTCTTGAGGTCAAATATTGGCGTCAGGAAAATGTTCCAACGCTGATTACACGGGAGAGGAGCGGTTGGAGTCTGACAGTTGGGGGCGGGGGTCGGGGGGCGGAGAGAGGAGAAATTCTTTAGGGATTCCTTCACCCAAAGGAGCAGAAGCAATCCGTCCCCGAAGACATTACAGGAGAATCACTTCGTGTCTTTTGAATTATTTTATTCAATAAAATAAAAACATATCATGAAATAGAAAGTATAATTTTCCTGGTGTTTGAGTGTTAACTGAAGATAGAATATAGTTTTCTTGAAGACTTGGGTTAGTTATTTTAACTCCCAGGGTAGCAGTGGATTTCTCAGATTAGCACAGTTGGTTTTGCCTACTCGTGAAAGTATTTAATCCTGTCTTGAATAAAGCCATGGAAATTCTCTGGGAACAAGCAGGTTCCCTGATTAGTCATTCCTTTTAGCTCTGCCATCTGAGGACTTTCTTGTTTCCAGAGAATGAATGTTTTCAGGTGGGGAATGTTTTAAGTCATCATCTGTCTGTGATTCCTGACTGCACTCAGTAATGTATTCTGGTTCTTCTGGACAATTCATTTCCATTTGATTGAAAGACACATGTTCCGGGCTCAGTTTAAACCAGTGTATTTTACAGCACTTGGCAAGGAGAGTATTTCCTTCACACAATACAAATTTGATTATCTAATAGTCATCATATTTTGTCACACACTAATTATTGGGTTATCTAATATTTGAATCAACTTCCCTGGTGAGTCAATGTTAAAGAACCTGCCTGCCAATTCAGGAGAAGCAGGTTCAATCCCTGGGTCAGGAAAACCTCCTGGACAAGGAAATGGCAACCCACTCCAGTATTCTTGCCTGAAGAATTCCATGGACAGAGGAGTCTGATGGGCTACAGACCATTGCAAAAGAACTGGACACAACTTAAAGACTAAACAACAGAAACAATATTTGTCCCATGTTTTGTTCCTATACATTCACTCATTTATTTGACAAATGTTTATGGTATTCCTGGGTTTGCCTGGTGGCTCAGATGATAAAGAATCCACCTGCAATGCAAGAGACCCTGGTTCAATCCCTGAGTTGGGAAGATCCCTTTGAAAAGGAAATGGCAACTCACTCCAGTATTCTTGCCTGGAGAATTCCATGGACAGAGGAGCATGGCAGGCTATGGTCCATGGGGTCCAAAGAGTTGGACATGGCTGAGCAACTAACACTTTCACTTTATGGTATTCCTGCAATGTATTAGGCACTGTGCTGAGGTCCAGGAAGGACCCAGGGAGAAACTACCTCTGCAACAAGTGATTACTATGAAAAAATTGTGGTGAGGTTTACAAGGGGAAATAGAGAAAGTTTTGGGAGGTTATAGCAGGAGACACCTTTTGATCTGGAAATCAGGAAGACTTTGAGGAAACAACTCAACCTCTTTGAGTTGAAGCCTGAAGAAGGTCAGAAGTTAGTGGGCAAGCAATATATATAGGCAAGAATTCTCTAAGCAGAGGACTTGAGTGAGCACACAAAGGTAAAACAGGGGCCACTAGAACAATGGAAAACATTGGTCTATTTAGACCACAGAGGCTAGAGGCAGTGCCAGAAATGGCAATAAGACCCAGTGCTTATATAGTGTTTATTCTGTGCCATGTGTGCTAAGTTGCTTCAGCAGTGTCTGACTCTTTGCGACCCCATAGACTGTAGTCTACTGGTCTTCTCTGTCCACGGAATTCTCCAGGCAAGAATACTGGAGTACATTGCCATTTTCTTCTCCAGGGGATCTTCCCGACTCAGGGATCAACCTGCATCTCCTGCATTGCAGGTGGATTCTTTACCGTCTGAGCCGCCAAGGAAGGGCTCTGTATCTATTAACTACATTACCTCTCATAACAACTCTCTGAGGTAGGTATTAATACTACAATATTCCCTCTTTTATAGACATGGAAACTGAAACAACAGCAAGGTTAAATATGTTAGCCCAGGCCATAGTGGCAGAGCTGGGATTCAAACTTAAGCAGTTTGTATCCAGGGTCTGTGCCCTTAGCTATTGTGCCAAAAGATGAGGCTAGAGAGCTTCTTATACATATGCACATTTGTGCATCCACACAAAATTTGCATACAGTTTCATTCATAGATCCTAGATTAAAAACCAAGGTTTCTTTAGTTAATCCCACAGACCTGATGACTGAAGAGAGGTAAGCAGATAAGTCATTTGGAAAGGAAGTTAGAGAAAGTGTAGAGGAGGGCCTTGAGGAGCACTCACATTATAGGATAGCTAGAGGAAGCTAAGCCTGGAAATGGTCTGTGAAAGGGAGACAGAGAGGTTGGAGACATGTTAGATTGGGTCTGAGCAGATTAGGAAAGTTACACAGTAAATTTGAAGAAGGAAAGTTTACTATGAAGAACTATTAAACATAATGGGGGCCTGGAATAATGAACTGACTTGTATACGGGTGGTTAAACTTCTCTTGTAGAGAAAAATATTTTAGACTTTGGGGGCCATCTCTTTTGTAGTTATTCAACTCTGCTATTGTAGCACGAAAACAATTGTAGGCAATATGTAAATGAATGAGCATGACTCTGTTCCAATAAGACTTTATTCACGCAAACAGGCAGTGGGCTGTATTTGGCCTGCGGGACAGTTTGCCAATCCACGGGCTAGTAAGGAGTAAAATGAAGTCGCTCAGTCATATCCGACTCTTTGCGACCCCATGGACTGTAGCCTACCAGGTTCCTCCATCCATGGGATTTTCCAGGCAAGAGTACTGGAGTAAAGAGTACTGGAGTAAGGAGTAAAGAGAACTCTAAAGAAGATTAAAAGAACAGCTAAAAAATATGACCAATATTTAAAATTGTGATAGCAGGTTGTCATTGTTGTTCAGTCACTCAGTCAGGTTTCCTACTCTTTGTGACCCCATGGACTGCAGCATGCCAGGCTTCCCTGTCCTTCACCATCTCCCAGAGCTTGCACAAACTCATGTCCCTTGAGTTGGTGATGCCAGCTAACCATCTCTTCCTCTGTCATCCCCTTCTCCTCCTGCCTTCAATCTTTCCCAGCATCAGGGTTTTTTCCAGTGAGTCAGCTCTTCACATCAGGTGGCCAAAGTAATGGAGCTTCAGCTTCAGCATCAGTCCTTCCAGTTAATATTCAGGACTGATTTCCTTTAGGATTGACTGATTTCATCTTCTTGCAGTCGAACGGCCTCTTAAGTCTTCTCCAACACCACAGCTCAGAAGCATTAATTCTTTGATGTTCAGCCTTCTTTGTGGTCCAACTCTCACATCCACACATGACTACTGGAAAACCATAGCTTTCACTAGATGGACCTTTGTTGGCAAAGTAATATCTCTGCTTTTTAATACTCTGTCTAGGTTTGTCATAGCTTTTCTTCCAAGGAGCAAGCATCTTTTAATTTAATGGCTGCAGTCACCACCTGCAGTGATTTTTGAGCCCAAGAAAAAAAAAATAAAGTCTGTCACTGTTTCCATTGTTTCCCCATCTATTTGTCATGAAGTGATGGGACTAGATGCCATGTTCTTTGTTTATTGAATGTTGAGTTTTAAGCCAGCTTTTTTACTCTCCTCTTTCGTCAAGAGGCTCTTTAGTTCCTTTTAGCTTGCTGCCATAAGCGTGGTGTCATCTGTGTATCTGAGGTTATTGATATTTCTCCCAGCAATCTTGATTCTGGCTTGTGCTTTAATAACAGGTATAATATAAATAATACAACACAATACAACATATAATAGCTTCTACCTGGGGCAGAGATGGAACTCCCAAGGAAAAGACCCCTTCCACTTCCAGACTGGAGCCCAGACCTTGTTAGAGCGTATAGCACAATGAATGGCAAAGAAGTCACTTTCTGCTGCATTAGTGGAATTTGATGGAAATCCACTGTGCTGAGGAAAGCTGTCCCACAGAGAGATGTCTTCCTGGAAGCACTCTGCTACAAAACCACCTAATGGGAAGGTTGCTGGGGGAGGCTGTGAGCAACTGAATGATGAGGGATCCAGGCACCAGAGAAGCTGTGTGGATCACAGCAGTCTGGCACGGCAGGAGCCAAGCATGCTACAGAAGTCTACAGAGCTAGGGCACCAAACCCCTTTCCTTTTTCAGTGTCTCTCCAGTGCCATCTATTGACAAAGCTTGACATCCTGCCACATGCCAAAGAAGAGGATATTAAATGGTCTATTTCCACTCTCACAGAGTAGGCAAAAAAGATGAATTGGATCTGAGAGGCAATACATTGATAACTGGTACCAGAAGGAGGGGTTTCCCTGGTGGCTCAGTGGTGAAGAATCCATATGTCAACACAGGAGCCAGAGGAGCCGTGAGTTTGATCCCTGGGTTGGGAAGATCCCCTGGAGGAGGAAATGTCAACCCACTCCAGTATTCTTGCAGGGATAATCCCACGGTAGAGGAGTCTGGCGGGCTACAGTCCATGGAGTCTCAAGAGTCAGACACAACTGAGCACACACACATATACCAGAGGGAATCCAGTGGATGTAATGTAATAGAATGCCTTACAAAGACATTTAAAGAAATGGGTGCAATACCAAAAGCACAATCCATAGACTAATGAATTGATAATTTAGACTTTATCTAAATTGTTGACTTCTTTTCTTTGAAA